AAGATGTATGTACAGTTTAAATAGCTAAATTATATATATTTATATGTTCGCTTCCCTTGCCCAAACTCCGGCGCCGATACAACAAAAGGAGTCTTTAACTAGATTATTACTAGAACTAATTATGTCCAAACTGCTGATATAATTGCTAAGATTACGGATTAATTATCAGAAACCGAGACGAATAAAATGTAATGTCCATACCACTTATTGAAAACAGGATATAGTTTCTATAGCAACGTCATAGTGTCTATTGTTATTAGTCACGGTGCATTATGTTCACGCAGCTTGGTGCATTTCCGGTCTAAAATAATATATTTGGTAGTTTATTCTGGTGAATTACATCATTAATATTGTTAGTTTTTGTAGGTTTTCCAAGTAACTTTGATAAACCAAGTGATAGTTCAAGATATAATGTTTGTCAAAATGTCAATTTCCTAACTTTAATATAAAGAAACGCCAGATTTAAGCTTGTCTTCCCGGTCCTGAACTGTGAGCTTTCTAATTATCTTGCTCATGCCTGAAAACGCTCCCATTCCTCCCAACGTATCTTTACAGTTTCAGGACTCTGTTTATTGTCACCACCAATCTTATTCTCCTCATACTTCAGTATGCTGATGTAATTTGTTTCCTCACCTTTTGTTATTTTGACGCATATGGTATCTTGAAGCACTGTAACTTTTGCGTGCCTTTCGCTGCTATCTAAAACCAACTCATATTTACACCGGATTTCGTCTAGAGACTGTCTAAGTGCAGCAAATTGTTTGAGTGTTAGCAGAAGCGATTTACTCGTATATCCAAGCTTTGCGTCATCATATTCGCTTTTTCTCAAAATAATGAACGGGTTTGGAAATCTTCCTCTTCTAAGCTCGACATTGACGTGTTCACTGCAAAGGAAATTCACTAAAACGTTAGAATCCTTACTTGCCGATCCTGATCAGGAATGATTCATCTTGGCTATATGATGCATAAGCATTTATGTCAAAATTCTACTTTACTGTATCACAAAGATAGAGGAACCTAAATGTTTGTTCTCCGTTTTCTCAAATATGGTACAAGTGAACATAGAACCTTTTAATAGTGGGGGGACGATATGCCATTTTATAAATATATAAGCTTATTGTGATAAGACATACACCCACTAGGGTGTCATTATCACTGATATATATTAGGGGTACCGCGAGCGCTCGAGTGCTCGAGCGCTCGAGCAATTCACCTCTGATACGAGCTGTATCGATACATAAAATGAATATCGGTCGTATCGTTTTTGTCCCTTCTTACTTACCCAAAGGAAAGGAAAAACTCAGAGCTTAGAGATGACAGACAGTCATAGTTACGTATCTTGCTTGCCGCCTTCGTTTGCCCCGATAGTTCCCGAATACCACACGTTGTTAGGATGTTTTAATTGATGTTAGCATATTTTACACCTTTCTTTAAGAGGAGGGAAAGCCCCAGAGTTTTAAGATGACAGACATATTACCTCTCTTGCTTACCACTTTCGTTCGTTCGAATTTTCATCGGCTAGTTATCAAATATTACACTTCGATGGGATGTTTTAATTGACAAAGGCATATTAGTAGTATATATCGTTGGAATGACCACCTAGTATATTGTACATAAAATGTAAATTATTGTACATAAAATGTAAATTCATATAAATTCATATAAAATGTAAATTCTGGGACAATCTGACGCAATCTGGGACAATTTGTAGCAATACGGGAATCAGCAGCCAATAGGCAGGGTCGAATCGAAGATTTTACCTACATTTTGGGATGAATCCAAAGTCCTGTGGATGAGGAATTTCAACATCTGAAGATGTCGTTTTTCCACCATTTATGACGTCAATTTATCATCATTTAGATGGTATATAAAGACCGTCGAAAAGTTAGATTGTTAAGTTAAATTTTGAAATTCATCAAGATGACAACCGTCCTCAGATCTTACGACTTGACGAAAGATGTCGCTTTCAACATTTGCCGTAATTCCAAGGGTACTTACAGAGAGTTACTTCAGTCTAAATTTTTGCAAAAGAAAAACAAGACATACTCTCACCGTATGTTCGTATCCGATCAACTGTGGAGAGCGCTGAAAATACACAGGGAACTGTCAGCGATGTGGACGACTATCTTACTTTGAAGAGAAAGGCATCAGAAAATGACAATCTCATAATGTTATTTCGTCACTTCCACCGTAAGCCAGAAGGTGGTAAAACATTTGGTCAGTGGAGCACGTCATGGTGTACTGTGATGGCAGAAGTAGACGCATTGCTTAAAGAAAACGAAGAGAATATCGGGAACTGCTTAATTGAACAAAAGAAAGTGATTAAGCCGACATCTTTGGATATCTTGAAACAATCCATGGTATATGTGTTCAATAGGGAATACGTACGAGCTGAATGCGTCAGATCGAAACAAGATTGCCCTGCATGTGACGAAGAGATAGAGTGTGAAAATCAAATGGGACATGATTGTCTACTCACTATGGACTATTGTATTATGGACGCTATCGAGGCTGTCTGTTTTGCAGAGTGCTAAAGAATCGCCTTTCGAGTAGCTGAATTTATTCAAGTCGCAGAACCCATTATTGAAGAGAGACAGTTCGACATTGAGAAAATCCAACTTCAAAAAGACGGAGTCATGTACGCCTCGCGTACTAATGATCAAGACAGAGCAGACATTTTGCAAGACGTTATTAAACAAATATGGTAAGTACTGTACAACATGAAATATTAACTATCTAAGAAACAGTATGCGAAAAATTATTATTATATTCAGTTCATTATCAAACCATGAACGTTTAGAAGGAATATATCACGGAATATATATACTAACTACATGTTATACAGTACATACCATTATAACGTGAACGTAAACTACCACTCAGTACTCTTGTATAACATGAGAGAATATTTAGATTTGAAAATATATTATTGCTTATTTTAACATATCAATTGCATGTTATTGTCCACATTGATTAAAATCCATTTTGGTTTTACTCATACTTGTATCCCCACACTGAAAAACACGAGAAAAACAAAATCCATCACTATTATGTAGACACATAAAAATCAGCTGTGTATTACCTTAGTCTCGATCAGTTGATATAAAAATAAATTATCATCAAAGTTCAGTGAGCATGGATGCGTGGTTGATTCAGATCTTAAAACGTTATCAATCTAAGAATGAACCCTAAAACATTCAAGGCAGTCGTATTACTCTAGTATGATTGGATGATAATCATTCTTAATCAATATTATTAATTAAGCATCACTTATGAAAATTAAAGTGATACTTACTCACTAACTCTGTCTGGCACGCAGCGGACGGTCTCTCCATTCTAGCGCATCCTATAAAAGCACTATCAGGAGGAGTACCGCTCCCTGTTTCTTTTATCAAATTGAGCCTGTAATAACAGTGATATATGTAATCAAGCAAAACGTATCGTGTAATATTCATGGTTAAGCATATTTTAAAGTTGAATGCATTTTTAAAGGAAACATTTATATAATAAATTATAAATAACGCATACACATTATTGAGAGTGTTAAGCTTAGAGCTCTATTGTTCCCTCTAATTCACTGTATTAATCAACTAGTAATTATTCTCACTTTTCGCATCATTAATCTATTTTATTTTCGTAAAAGCTTACCTCTTATATCTATTATATAGATGCTGTTTTGTACTTTTTTCATCCACCTCTGGGACCGCGTCTTTACAATACTTCTTGTGCTAAATAGAATAATAATAAAACAGCATTAATGCATTGTTTCACCACTAAATGCACAGTGAATATAATCACATTCAAGGAGCCGATTTGATTTGGAAAACAATCACACCACATACATATTCTCATTACCAAATGCACAGTGAATATAATCACATTCAAGGAGCCGATTTGATTTGGAAAACAATCACACCACATACATATTCTCATTACCAAGATATTTTCACGACTCGAGTATTTCCATAATGGTAATAAATTGAATCATAAACATTAAAATCAACGCTAAGATTAATTAAAAGTAACACGTGATATATGAGCACGTGACACGGTAGTTAAATTCAATAATCACATTTAGCTCCATTGCAGCAAGTAACCAATCTTGATGAAGAAAACAATTCACACTACTATACCTTGCATTAGGTGTTCATGAGCAACCCATTTGGCTTATTAGTAATGATTATGTATTTGTTTTTATTTGTCTGTTCCTTATGAATGGTTTATCGGTTTAAAATTAGATGCTAGTAAGGCACTTTCAAAAATATATTAAACAATTCAATTAGACAAACAAAGTATCTTATGCATTTCTAGGTGTTAGGTATAGTAGTGTGCAATTATGCTTAATTAACTTACCTCTAGCTCCTCTGGCATCATTGCATGCGAGTGATTGTAAAAACAATGAACAATTTCACCACTTCGCGGGTGCTGTCGTTTACATTTAATCAAATGATATGGCATGCGTCCTTTTTTTGACCAAATGCGATTTTACAAGTAAGCACTGCTCCATGATGAAATTGTTATGGGTGTATCCTAAGGTTTCTTACTTTTATAACACATTGATAGACTTACATAAATTTTAATTTACGTAAACTTCATAATCCGGCAGTGGGATGATACTCATACCAGTTATTAAGCAGTGACATGCTATCTAAGTTAATGACAACATAATTACTTGTTTTTTGTCAAAAGTTAGCAACAGGAGGTCGTTGAGACCATTGAATATCTACTGTCGCTATAATTTATACCACATTGATAGACTTACATAAATTTAAATTTACGTAAACTTCATAATCAGTGGGATGATACTAATTCCAGTTATTAAGCAGTGACATGCTATATATTTAACATTGGATAAAAGCCACATTCACATTGTGTAAGAATGAACCCTATGTTTAGACATGAGTCGCATGTTCTATGATTATTAGTTACAAGCGCTTACCTGCAAGTTTCATTATATAATTTACTATCCGAAGTAATTTTCAAGCATGTGAACTTAGAAAGTATTAAATTTTATTGATTTCATAAAAACCAAATCGTCAAAAACTATAAACAAAGTTGTAATAATAGTTCTGAACTGTCAATAGCGCTTTCCCCCTCATTGACCGATTGGACATTATTAGTCATAGTCTCCAGACTCGTTTCTTTTCCGTCATCATCCACACTTTCTGAAAATGATTTTTTTTACATTTTAACGTATCTGAAGCGAAACGAAATAAATAAAACAACAACAGAAAATTTAAATGAAAGCGTTGGTAAAAATGATTGTGGCAATAGCCTTTGGTAATAAACTTTTCATGTTGACGCCCCTCCTCATCACTCTCCAATCCGACCTCGTGAAGTATAGCCTCCAATCGACTATTCAAGCTGTCGTCTGAAAATGCATTTTCTTAAGGTGACTGTTAACTTAATCGATTTTCAAAAAATTGAAAATTTCACATTGGGCTATTTTTAAGGGATGTTTCAGAGAAATTAGGAAAAAATGTTCAGAGACTTTTGCCGTGCTACTCTTTTTGTCAATTTTTTCTGTCACATTTTCAGAGGACTCAAATTCCCATTCCAAAATGTTTACTGTTTCTATTTGCATTACCACAGTGAGCCTGGTTATATAAATGATAAGTGAAACTAAAAAATTTAGAGAAAATCCAACTGAAAGACTGGTCCTGGTTTCCGTCATCTTGGCTTTTTTTGATTAAATTATAATTGATTTTTACACTTTAACGCGTGATAAAACAAACATACAATTAAAAAAAAGGAAACTGAATGAAAGCGCTGATATAATTCAATTATCATAATAACCTTCCTCGATATCCTGAACAGTTTCAACCAAATCTGGTACTCCTATTGATGTTTCCACTGAAAAATAGATTTTTAAAATCGTTATTCATTTTATAGCTGTATAATGAAAAAATGAAAAAAAATAAAAATAAATAAATGGAAAAATGAAAATCATAAAATAGAATTGATATAAAGTACGCACCTGCATTAGCTAAGATATCCTTTTGTTGCTTACAATTTGATCTCAAATGATTATTCAAATACTGTGTATATTTGAATGTTTTTCCACAAGTGAAGCAAATCAAAGTTCCGTTATTTCTATGAACGTATTGAACGTGTCTTGTTAATTGATACTGTTGATTGAATTTTTTAGCACAGTTTAAACAATCATATAATCCCTGAACGCCGTGTTTTTTAAATAAATGTACTTTAAGTTTTTTATTCGAATAAAATGCACTGCTACATAAATGACATTCAGACATTTCCAAACAAATAGATGTTAGAGGTTGACGAATATAATGTATATATTTATATAAAGTTAACATAAGACAAATGTTCACTTATTATCTCAACTGACCAATCACCGATTAACGTAAATAAACATATATAATATATATGCGGCTTGCCATATGAAAACCGGTCTTATCACAAAAATTAAAATTATGTTACAGAGCTAAAAATGAGACCAAGATTAAGAGGAAAAATGTGCTAAATTCAAATCCATCTTTTTGGTCTATATCTGCAAGGAAAAATTGTTAAGACATTAGACATGGTCCATATGAAAGGTTTCTTTGTGCTGTTTAAGATAAAAATAAAATCAAAATATTGAAAAATCGGTGATAAGACCCCTTTTCCTATTACCTGGCTAAAATAACTATATAAAGATAAGATAAGTCAAATGTCCAATTTTTAACAGAACTGTCCAATCACGGATTGAAATACGACTGCATACTCCGTTACTGGAATGGCGTATCGTTTCCAAAGGTGTTCATCTGAGTTCAACAATTGAAAGTGTCCATCCATTTCATCACTCTCTATTTTACTCCAATCAATCTTAAAAAACTCACAAACGTTCGTAGCAAGTTCAATTAAGGCGTCGAATTCAATGTTCTTTAGAGCATCGTTCGTCAATTCAGTGAGTCCCTTTTCAAGATCGAATGTTCCTCCATTCGGTAAGTCATATCTAGAAAACAATTATAAACACGCTCTAAGAATTCATCCCTCTTTCAACTAGTCGAGTGTGAACATTGCATTTAAAGTTATAAGAACAATTAGAAATACCGCGCTTATAATTTTCTAAACTTCATGATAAAACTAGGATAAGACTAGTGCTCGAAATAGTTATTTTTACTCTTAGATCTATACCACTGTTGAAAAGAATAAGACTAGGATAAGACTAGTGCTCGAAATTATTATTACTTTTAGATCATATGCATTATCACTGTTGAAAATAATACTTACCTATGCAAGGCTAATCGTTCTACTTCATTGGTTACAATGTAGGCGAATGAATGATTAGCAATGCTTCTCCACGTTGGTGTTTCCATGGGAAACATCTCGATTGTGACGTTTTTGAAATTAACTTTTTGACACTCAGATCTCATTTGCGACATATCTGTATTCCATATGGAGAAACGAACGCATTCCTCGTCATACTTAATTCTACATAACTCGGTGAAAGTACATGGTTGACTTTTCTTGATATATGTCAAACAGGTGGAAATAATCCCTGGTAGTTTTTGAAGTAGTTCAAACCTTAAAATAAAATTGGTCAAAAACAATGAGACAAATATACACATGCATTAAATAAGTTTTATCTTACTAGATCACGAATTGATAAATAAAATGTTTGTTTTGTTTATCTTATATGATGGAGGTTACTTTTTAGCGTGAAATTATATAAAGTCTAAACTATTTTAATCCTATTTCTATATAAACTTACCAAGCAATTTCACTAATGCTAAAGCAAGTCGACTTTTTAGCAAACTTCTCAATCCTTATTTGTCCTCTCGAAAAGCTTATGAAAAATAGTCCATCTATAACTTTCATCACAGAAACCCTGATGATTCTTTACCGAACGCCGTCATTCCCCATTCTTTCAATTCAGTTTTTCTCCTCTTCAATCGTTTCAGAAACGACCTAGATAAGGCGAATCCCGTCTCAGATAGCCTGTCGTTGCATAGAAAAGAAGCTATTTTACCATTTGGTTTCCGTACGATTTTAAGATATATTTCCACAGCTAATGCGAACACGGCCAGTGATTCCATTTTTGAAGTATAATTCTGATATTGTAAAGCAAAGAGCTTGATTGATGATTATATAGGAAATTTTATTAAATGCTGAAAAAATGACGTCATAAATGGTGGAAAAACGACATCTTCAGATGGTGAAAAAACGACATCCTCAGATTTTGAAAAAACTCAGAAACACGGGTCAATGATTCACTTAATTCAACACCTATCATGCCGCTTCACAAATAAACGTGAAACATATTGAATTCAGTTATGCGAGTTTTATGCATGTTTTATGTTCGATCGATGAAATGTTAAGGTCATAAGAAGTAAATTCTTTGTTTTGCGTCCTGGCAAAATCCCAAAAACTTGTTTGCTGGGAATACAATTTATGGGCATTAAAAGGGATGACATACCAATTTGCAGTGATTACAAATACATATCTATACATCATAACATGTAGCACTGGTTTACATTAATTGGTACAATTAAATACATGTTCTATAAAACCACCAGCCGATGTCGGCTTATGAGACACTGGACTTTAAAGATCAATTATAACAATGTATATATATAGTACTTCTTTTTATTATTATATATTTATGATATAATAATAAATAATTTGTGGTATGCCTATGAACCGTATTCATTGCAATGAGTGCCAAACCTTAAATAAACATTTTATATATACTTCTTCTTCTTCTTATATATAGTAGTTCTTCTTATTTTTACTTATATATATGAGTTACTTATTTTCAAAAGGTGGAGTGAACTATAGTACCTAGTTTAGTCAATAGAGGGAATAGTTATCTGTCCCCGGGAAAGTTTCCCCGGGAATGTTACTCCAACTGAGTAATTCAGTCAGTAAATCGGCTTACACTACGATATAATTTCAATCCCAGCATTCTTTTGTATTATGTATGCGTTCTATGTGCAACATTGGATAGTTTATACCAACACGTGTCACTCGTCGGGAGACGTGTACGTTGATAAGTTGCACTTTCAATGTTGCAATTATTTCACGGAGCCCATGTCAAGCTGCGCGCCTACTTAGGCGCGCAGTTTGTTTCGATCACAAACTGCGTGCCTAACAACATTGCATCATTCAAGTTGGAGTCTGAATTTTGAAACGTAATTTTTAGACATTTATCCTGCATTGTTTTCTTGTTTAATACGTTCATTCTATGGCGAATATACGAATCTTGCAAATACTAGCAAAAACTATGTACAAATGGATCGAAGTTTTAAAACATAAGCAGATTAATGGCATTTTCGTCACAGATTTAAAGGGAATTTATACGTAAATTGATCTAGCACCTTAAATATAAATGATAGATACTTCAGACTCGTTTTATATTTAATTCCTTAAGCATTTATCATGTATAGTTCAAAATATTTCGAGATAAAACAGATAATCAGGAGATTAAAAGGAAATAAAGCACAAACTGCGCGCCTATTTTAGCCAGGAAAGGGGGGCGAATTGTTTGTAGAATGAATCGGGGGATTTTTTTCATGAATTTCGCTTATGTTTTTCTTCCAAAAAACATCAATACACTTTAAAACATTTTGTTTACTTTAAGATTACACCATGTAATCCAAAAATATATTTCTCATTTTCAAAGATAATCCATGGATTAACACCCAGGTATTTTTATTTTTCAAACTTCAGAGGGCCGGGAATCAATGATGCTCAACGCTTTTGAATACGATAAATGCTGTTTTAAATAGGTTTTACGTATGCCAATAATTTCTCAAATTATGTAAGCTGAATGCATTCCTTAATCCCTAGAATGCCTATCATATAACATTCTTTTGTGTTGGCCACTTAATATGTTTTTTGCTGTCTGATCATCAAATCAATTTGTTGTTATTTAAAGATGTCAGTCAAATCTGGTGAAACAGCACAACATTAACCTAAATAGCACATGCAAGTACATATTATGTAACTCATCCATAATATTTCATGCATCAGGTATTAAGGCTCAGAGGATTAACTTTTACACATAAACTGAACTGACAGATGTGTATGCTTACATGTACAACTTCCAGGATTGTAAGAATTCAAAACTTGTTGATAGCCATATTTTCCTGAATGTGACATCGAGACATTATGGCATTTATGAGTGGTAAAACATGAAAAAAACATTTTCATTTAAAATTAGCATATGATTTGAATTGATGCCAAGAAATGTATAAGTTAACTGTATCCGTTTTAAAACATCCATTGCAGTTGGCTACATTATAAGACAAGGCATTCACATGCAAAATGTCAACACCTGCCATTTGTTACAGACACCAACTGCCAAACAAATATACAAATGCAATATATTCATTGCAATGAGTTACTCAAATATAAAGAAATACAAATGCAAATAATAAGTATTTCGTATTATATAGTAAAGTACAATATGGCATTTCGCATAATATGGCATTTACACAATATGACATTTTACACCAGAGGCGGTATTGCAAAATGTTGTCTAATCTTGTGCATTTATTTTGTTGGAAGGTAAAATATAATGGTTTTGACCTTACATACAACTACTGTGTTTTGTTTTTAGTTGGTCGGAATTACTTATTACGCTATCATGTCCTCAAAGTGAAGATTATTAAACACCTATAATAGTCTGTTGTAATCTTTGGTTATGGGAAACGTGAGGAATTATAAAAGCCTGAAATGCTTGAGCTCTCATTCAACTTCTAATCGCTAATTCCCGTTGGAGATATGCAGGACTCGAAATCCAAAAAGAAGGGCTTTTCAGTACTAACGGTTGCCATTCCATTTTCAGTTCGTTTTTTATTTTCCTTCTCTACTTCCTCCTGTTCTTGGTGAGGGAAGATTCCACCTTTTGAACGTAGCATTTATCTAAGGGGGGGGGGGGGGGGTACAAGTCCTGTAGGGAGAAAATAGGAAAAAAATCAATCCCAGCTATCAAGGCAAATTTTATTTCGGAAGTCCCAATGAAATAGCACAAACGGTGAAATAACTTTGAAGTTTTATTGTAACGTTAACAATGTATTTTTCCATTTGTTTTCACGGAAATGAAGGAAATATTTTTGTCTATTGTAATTGAGACTAGAAATTGGGGACCAATTCGGAGGTTATGAAAATTAAGTCTAGATAAATTTCCCATCCATATCATAAGCATTTTTTATATATTCATTTCAGGTTATGTAAGTAAAATTCAAATATAAAGAGACTTTAGTTAGTGAATCAATGTGAGAGGTAAGGTCGGTCGCCAAACTTTTGAAGGGTGGTGTTTGATAAGGTTAACGTTCAGATTTATCCTTCTTAAGTTAATTTGAATACCATGGTTTACGATCTAATCAAAGTCAGAGTGACATTATATTTGAAGATTTAACTACAAGTGATTGATGTCTAGTATAAACCGAAACAACAAACAAAACAAAACAAAAAATGTTCTCTTGTCAGTATGTCACAACTTTTAGGTTGTGACATAACAATTCTAATATACTGTATATAGCAACTCCTTTGAAAACGTGTGTAATACGTGATTGTATCAAAACACGTAGTGCAATAGTAAAAAACATAAATAAAAATAATTTGTGTACATATTGTTATCGTATCTTTATTTACATTCGAATTCACATTAAAATGACATAACATTAGGATTATTACAATATTATTACTATTTACATAACAGGACTCAAAATCTGTCCAAATAGTTAGAAGAAAGTGTACGAATTGAATAGAATGTATTAAATTAGATATTACTGAATACAAAACATTTGGATTATTACAATATTATTACTATTTACATAACAGGACTCAAAATCAGTCAAAATAGTTAGAAGAAAGTGTACGAATTGAATAGAAGGTATTAAATTAGATATTATTGATTATTGGATATTACTTAAAATTGTCCAACATTTTGTTTATAGCCTTAAGCTTCTCTAGCGTGATTAGCTGAGCTAATCGGCCATCTTCAATGGTCCCATCAGGCTCTGCTGTAGGGAACTCATCGTCGCTTTGACCATGTTCTGTTATAGAGAGAGCGTCTTCGCTTCGATCAAGTTTTGTTATAGAGGGGGCGTCCTTGCTAAGACCAGGCTTTGGTATAGAGGGGGCATCGTCGCTTCGACCAGGATGGGACGTTGAGGGAGCGTTGTCAATATCATTAGGTTCCACTTTGATTGAATCATTGATATCACAAGGTTCTGTTATAGAGGGCGCGTCGGCGCTTTGATCAGGGTCTGTTATAGAGGGGGCATCGTCGCTTCGAGCAGGATGGGACGTTGAGGGAGCGTTGTCAATATCATTAGGTTCCACTTTGAATGGATCATTGATATCACAAGGTTTTGTTATAGAGGGCGCGACGGCGTATTGATCAGGATCTGTTATAGAGGGGACTTCGTCAATAGGGGCCGCTCCAAGTGTAGCTGACTTCGTGGTCAAATCAAGGGCAGTTGCTGGCGTTTTCGGCAACCTTTTGATTCCAGTCATTACGGCGTCTAGTTCCTAAATGAAAAAAAGGAAATGTCATGAATGTAAAAGTTCAGCTATTATATTATATCATATTTAAAGTAAAATCAACCTTAAATTGATGGGACTTGTATCCCTTCTCCTGTTTTCAAAATTGATGTTCACTCCAAAATTATTATTATTATTATTTATTTATTTTTAAATAATTAACGAACATTATCTTTCTTTATTTTGACATTGCTTCTTTGATTTTCTTTGTTACTGTCGTACATGAAGAGATAAAATCAAATAAATAAATAAATAAATAAAGTGCAATACACAACCAGAGATTTTTTACACAAGAATATAGGGATCCACTTACATTTATCATCTGTTAATCTGTAATCGATGGTGACATTGAGCTCGATGATGACATTGACGAGGAGGCAGAGGATTCGAAATTCGTCCTTATTATTTTACACTGAAACATATATTTATGTGAATAAATTGACTTTAATTTAAGGAGAGAAACTCATAAATCATCTATGTATATTTGCTCACGTGACTTCTCTATTGATAGATCAGTTCGAGTTTAGATTTTGATTTATCAAATTGTTTTATTTGTTTATTTATCTGTTTGTTTGTTTGTTTGTTTGTTTGTTTGTCTTTTTTTTGAGAATAAATTTATCATACAACATTATCAGCAAATACTTTTATATTTTTCTAAATTAAATATCTAGTATAAAAGTTAATATGATACCTTTGGAATGCTGGGAACAACTTGCTCCGCGGGGTCGGGGGTTTGAGCTACTCTCCTTGGAACGATTGGTGATTGATAAGCGTCCTAAAAAATGAATCAACATATTTTTAATAAAAGTCTAACATACATCTGTGGATATTCGAATAAATCGTCTTTTAGTATTTGTTCATTTTCAAAAAAATATCTTTTCACACCGATGAATGAACATCATATCAATAGACAAGTTTTCTAATTAACAATATAAATCGATCGATTTATTGATTTTATCATTTCTTATAGGCTGAGCACTTATCAATATTCATTTGATTTTTTATCATTATTACATGAATTATGTAATTACCTTTGTAAATACCACTTATAAATTATATTAAAACGCTAGGAAGAAACTATATAATGATACATACCATTTTATCTTGTTTGCCCTGTTTAGGGGAGACTGCTGACTGGTCAGTTCCGCAGGCATGAACGAATTCGGAGGATTTAGCGAGCCAGTCGCTAATATTCCTCCCATCTATCTTGCAAAGAGGAGAATCCTTTCGAAACCGAATTGGTGACCTTGTCCTCCTCTTCTTGATAGACGGGACAGGAGATACACAAGACTGGTCGCCGACATCCTTCTCCTTCTTTCTCCCGCAAGCACTGGAGGATTTACTGGCCTTTCCGATAGGTTGATTGTCTGTATTGTTTACCCCATCAAATGACAGTGATAAGCCATGGCTCATTTGAAAGGTCTCCTTGTACTTTGTAAGATGAACAAAAAAATCAAAATATTGAAAAAAGAAAAATCTGTGATAAGACCCCTTTTCCTGCGACCTTGCTCATATTTATAATAAAATATAACCAGAACGAAGCATTTTCAATTATCATTCATAAATTAATGTCTCTTTCGGGAGAGTAGGGTGGCCCTAAAAAGGGCCGTGGTTTGTTCGGTTGAATTATACGGTCGGGCATTCGTGTTTGTAGTTTTCTGTTTCTTTCGTAGTGCATAAAAAACAGCATGGACATCTGTGCTCTTGTCCTTTGTAGTCCACATGACACAAACATTCAGGACACGTGTTCTCGTCTGCCTTTACCTCTTCTCGACATTGTACACAGCCTGCTACCCACCGTTCTCCTTATAACGGCGAGTCTTCATGATGTAGTAGCCACTGTTAGCAGTTTCCGCACACAAAATGTCCACATTCTAGCTGCGACCCATTCCAGAACATGATGAAGGTTTCACACAAGAAACACAAAACGCTTCGAAACATACTCATCTTGTTTAAATGTTAGAATCTGAATGTATAGAGTCTCTCTTTGACGTAATAATAATTTCTTTTTATTTTTTTATTTAGATTTTATTTATTCAGGGATAACTTATAAGAAATACATATGTTTTCTTGTCTCCATTAGAACCCTGCAGACACACATACACACTACAGTTAACAATAAAATATGTGACAATACATATCATAAAATTAGAAATTTGTAAAAACAGTACATTAAAATTAGAAATTTGTAAAAACAGTACATTAATATGTGTAAAAATACTATATGACTAGTCGATAAAAATAAGCATTTAAAATTTATTGTCACACTTGACATTTGAGCATATTAAGACATGTAAAATTACAATTATTCACTAATTGAAGCAAGGAATTGCTTTTTAGATGAACTTTAAAAGATCGCACTGAGGCAGATTCCTTTAAATCTAAAGGTGACTTGTTCCAGAGAACAGATGCTCTGTGACTAAAAGTTTGTGTGCCTGCATTATTACAATTTTGTTTAATAAAAATACATTTGTTAGTAGTAGCACGAGTACCATAGTTGTGAGTGTCCTTAGTAAAACTGTCCCGCATATAAGTGGGAACCAGTCCATTCACTACCTTATACATTAGTGTCAGGTTATGCATGTCCTGCCTCTCTCTTATGGATGGCCACTTCAGAGTATTTCTAACATCCTGAGATGGTGTACGTTGGGCACATTTAACTATCAATCTACCAGCACGGTTTTGGAATCTCTGAATTTTATCTAAGAGTTGTGAGCTGCATCCAGAGATGACAGCATCACCATAATCAAAAATGGGTGAGATGGTAGATTGGGTCAAAAGTTTGGTTGTTTTGAGGGTAAGAGAATCTCTCAATCTCCCAATAACCCCTAACCTTTGTGACAATATTGTACAAGTTTTGGTTATATGTGTTTTCCAAGTGAGTGTTGGATCAAACCACAAACCAATATATTTGAAAGCGTCGACTTGTTCAATTTTTTCTCCATTTATGACTATGTCGTCACTTTCATCTACCTTTGACAGTTTCTGGGATGACCCATACACCATGAATTTGGTCTTCTTGACATTTAATGTTAATTTATTTGAGCACAGCAATTTGTGTACCACATTCATGTCAGCTGTTAACTTAGAGTGAATATCTTTGGCATGGTAAAATATGGCAGTGTCATCTGCATAGAGTATGACTTTGGAGTCTTTAATTTGATTTTGGAGGTCGTTTTTGTAGAGAATAAAAAGCAGAGGTCCGAGTACAGAGCCCCGAGGTACTCCATACTCGACTGGTAATGAAGATGACACTTTGCCATTTATACTAACACATTGACTTCGACCAATGAGATAACTGCTGAACCAAGACAATTTTTTGTCTCTGACACCGATGTTTTGCATTTTCATGAGCATTAAGTTTACATCGACGGTGTCAAAGGCTTTTTTCAAATCAAGATATACTTCACCCGTTAAAAGCCCATTTTGGGTGTTGTTAAGTATATATATATAACATTTACAAGTGCGGTCTGAGTGGAATGTTTGGGCCTGAAACCTGGCTGATGAACAGCTAAGATATTATTGTCAGTCAGGTATATATTTGATTGTGTACATTTTTTTCAAATACTTTTAGACAGACTGGTAGAACAGATATTGGTCTGTAGTTTGAAGTATTCAAGTTGGAGCCATCTTCATAGATTGGCGTAACTTAAGCCTTCCTCCACTAATCAGGTATTTCCCCTGTCATTAGAGAAAAGTTAAAAAGGGTTGTCAGGGGGATAGATATCTCGGGGGCTGCCATTTTTAACAATCTTCCCGAGATACCATCCGTTCCAGTTGCTTTTTTGGCCGACAAGTTCAGCAGCTGTTTTTGGACCTCTTGGTACCCAAGTGGGGAGAATGTGAATTTTGACTCACAGGTGGTGTGCTTAGAGGTTACCTGAACAGGGCTGAACTTCTCCGCCAATTTGCTACCTATTGTTGAGGAAAACATATTAAAAGCAGAGGCAATGTCTTTATCATTTGCAATAGTATTACCATCTACCTCTAGGGCAGCAATTGTGGTCCCTTTAGAGTTTGGCAAAATCTTATTAATAGTGGACCAGAGACAATCAGATTTTGACATGTTTTCAAACTATAAGTTAGTTTTAGTTTAGTTTAGTTAAATATTTATTAGAGTCTCACGTACGCTGTAAATATATACATAAAAAATATTACATGTTTTGCACTAAAAATGAATAAAAACACACAGCCCAGCCGGCACCGGCTTATGAGAGACGTTTTACATTTTATAACACTGAATAGTTTTAAATTATAAGTCTATTTGACATCATAATACCAATTGTCTTTGCTAGTATGCGCTGCAATGAAGGGGTGCACATTATATTACAGTATTTCCCTAATGATCGAAGGTTTTCAAAGTCAGGAATGATATCTCTAGCTCTTTGAAAAAGGTTAAAACGTAATGTTTCATGCAAGGGACAGTCAATTAGAAAGTAGAATAGACTCAATAGACTCATTTGAACATGAACAAGTCCTGTCCGCAAGGGGAGTGGCACTGTATCTCCCTATTTCAACTTTGATTTTGGTGGTCATTGATGCCCAGCACATATCGCCTTGGGTTGTCGTATTGGGAGTGTGTTGCCCTACTCCTAGGAAGAATCGGCACGACTTGTTGTGTACGATAGTATATGCGTTTCTGGCCGATTTAGTTAAACCCCATATTGCAGCACCATAGAGCAGAACTGGTTTGACTAGGGTATCAAATAGGTAGGTATAAACATCGTAGCTGAAGCCCCCTTTGGCTCTAGATTTCGTCATAACTGCGCCAAGTGCTCGTGAACCAGATTTTGCAAGAATGGTTGCGGTCTTAGTCATATCCATGTGCTCATTAATTGCCAATCCGAGATACTTATACTCTTGAGCTTAATCGAGATCAATATGTCCACATTTAAATTTGTAAGTAGAACGTGCTGTCGCATTCGGTCTATGATGCACGACTTTTGTTTTTGATGCGTTAACTGTCATTCTCCATTTACAGTACCAGTTGTTAAGGCAGTTCAGCATAGATTGTAGATTATCCTCTGTTGGGGTAATGAGGACTATATCATCTGCGTATAGCAGCATTCCTATGTTAATATCTCCTACGTCGACCTCGCATCGCATAGCGGATATTTCGTTAGCCAAAGCATTTGAATAGATGGCGAATAGAGTCGGACTGAGCCTACAGCCTTGTTTCAAACCTGAGTGCACGTCAAACCACGATGTTAGTGTCCCATTCATGCGAACTGAGTATTGCACTCCTACTTAAAGAGACTGTATAGCTTTTAACATGCGTCCTTTGACTCCCGCACTTGCAAGCTTGTAATACAGACAGTCCCTGTTGATGGTATCGAAACAACGTTTTGCGTCGACGTACACTTCAAATGTCGATTCCTTCTTTTGTTTACGATTCCCTCTAATAGAGGTTAATGAATATATGTGGTCCAAACAACTGCGGTCACCTTTAAAACCGTTTTGAAGGTCCGACAGCTTGTTATGTGTCTCTAGCCACTTCATGAGCCGTGAGTTCAAAATGTCACAATATATCTTACATGGGACCGATATGAGGCAAATACCACGATAGTCCATGGGGACCCGACGGCCGCCTGTCTTGAAAATTGGGTATATTATACTTTGGTTCCATATCTCTAGCACCTTGCCAAGTGAAAAACATGTAGAAACTATAATATTGATGCAGTTTGTTTTTTTAGGATTTCTGCAAATATTCCATCGAACCCAGCAGCTTTGCGTTATTTAGCATGGTAAAAAGCTTTGGCTACGTCATCATGGGTGATGTCCTTATTAAGCTCTGGGTTTACATCAACATCTTCACTTGTGTCTAATCCCTGCATGTGATTCCGAACACCATTTAAGTGTGCATTATCGAAGTGTTCACTATCAATATTATTGTACATTTTTTCAAACTCGGCTTTCCAATGATTCATAACAACATTTGTGTCTCTTGATATATTATCATCATCTAATTTAATTTCCATCGGAATTTCAGTTTTAGTGGTTCTTTCATTCGACATACCGATTTCCCCAAATTCCTCCCCAAAGGAACGTTGATCGTACTTATTAGTGTATAATTCCAGTAAGTGTTCCTTTTCATGTAACTGATGTTGCCGTTTATGACGTCTCAGCAATCTATCGAAGGATCGGCGTTCATGATTAAATTCCGCCCTCAGACGACCTGTATTCCGTGGGTTTTTACATTGTAGCCATATTTTTTCTTTCCTAGAAACGACATCGCATTGATCCTGTAGTTCCTTGCACCAGTACGGCTTCGCTATAGCCTTGGCTCGCTTATTTAATGATTTTGTATTTTTACATGGTAGTTTATCACTCATCTCCGTAATATAAGTTTTGTGAATTCGTTATATGCGTTATTAACTGTTACAGAGTCTTGCGTGTATCATTCAATGTTTCGGATTGTTTGTTGTATTAATGGCTGAATTTCATCATTGTTCATAAAGTTTTCCTCAATCTGATGCAAGTCATACTTCGGTGGAGGCGTCGGTGCGGATTGGGGGGGGGGGGGGCGGTGGGCGGTATAAACGTCTCAGGAGGATGACGCTCATGTCTCCTTAAGCTGCATTCCAAGATTGAATGACCAGGGCGTGCATTAGGTTGTAGGGAAAGTAATTGCATCATTTGACAAACACTTGTCATCGTGTGCACTTGAACGTTTTTCCAATCCTCCATTTCCATTTGAGAGATTGATGTAAAATCCATTGATTTCGCCCGACCATTGAGCATGCACAAATTTGTAGTAGTTAAAAAATCTATAAGCTGGTCCCCATAGCCGTTTTGCGCATGATCACTCACTTCACGTGGTGAAGGAAGGTAGACACCTTCGATATAAATGGGATTATCACCACAGCGAGAATTGAAATCCCCACGTATACACACTTGACCAATATTTTGATATTCATACAACTGAAATAGGAGGGTATTGTAGAATTCCACTGCATCACTGGAACGCTAGGTATCCTTGGGGGGTAGGTATGCTGCACATACATGTATACATATGCATCGTTGATCCTACAGTGGAATTTGGGTGTCAGCTTGATCCATAGTATGTCCTCTGTGACTTTTTGAGAAGTATTCCAACCCCACCTGATCCTCGACGTGCATTGTGGTGTGTAGTCGGACGGTTATGGCCTGTCCAAACATAATCCTCATTTCCATGGATATTTAAGATATCATTATTCCTTTAAAAGGTTTCATTTAAACACAATATATCAAATTTCATCTGATCTAGAACTGAATTCCTGAACACAGAATTATCATTATAATAACACGACCAGCTATTAACACTCCACGTGCCAATTTTAAGCCTCTCTTCATTCCGATGCCGGCCGTATTCCTATGAAGTGGGAACATTTGATCGAGGGGTAATGGCTTGGACTGTGGGAGTATTGTGGACTGTGGGCGTGTCAAGAGGGTGAGCTGCTGTATTAACTGGTGTGGATGGTGTTGCTAAAACAACACGGGGAGCATTGGGCTTTTGTGTAGTGGGCCTAGGGGCCCTAGTAGTCCTGGCAGCTGGTTGGGGGGGGGGGGGGGTCGCTGTCCCCTGGGTACCGCCGATGATGGAGGCACTACTGCTTTTGGCTGAGGGAGCTCTGTGTCATTTTCCGTCAGTGGGGTTGATGCAATCAGATTCGGTCGATTTAATGGCGAGGAATCAGCTTTCCATTACGTACGACCAAATTATCATTAAGCGTTGGTGCAGCCCGAAGAATTGCTCGTAGGTTGGACTCATCTTTGAGCTCTGCGCTAGTTTTCCTTGAATCGATATATATATTACGATGTACATCTATCAGCCTCAATTGTCTTTTTACGGACAAAATACGTTTTTTGTTGTCAATTGACTGCATGGTGACAAATGTATACCGAGTGCATTGTTTCTAGAATACATTCTCTCAACAGATACAGGGCGGATGTCACTGAGATTAATAGATGACAATATGTCGTTTACCTTGCTGGATATGTCCTCATCCTTCGAGTGTGGTATATTTCGAATAACAATATCTATGTCGTTTTTTTCGTTGTTGACATTTTGTCGAATATTCGTCATTTCATTTGTGATCGGTGTAATTTGCCCCTGCATGTCCGTTCTGAGTATTTCCATATCTGTTTTTACCGTAGATTTCACTTGTTCAATTTTGTCATCGAGTAAATTTGCAATATCCTCCTTTTGTGCTCTTTTTTGAGCCCAGTTGTTGCCTTGTTCCTAATTATTTTGTAGGAGTTTTGTAGAGAGATTGCTGAGTCTCTTTACCGATTGCCTTGGAGGCGTTCTTTGTACACTGGTCCATAACCTTTCAAAATCATCCTCCATTGAATCTAATAGATTATCGTTTAAGATAGTAATCTCCTTTTTAATGAAGAACCCAATACCACCGCCACCTTTACCAACTCTGTTCTTGGAAATGAATTTATATTGATCATTACATATAGTTAAAGTATTGAATCCATTAAAGAAGGTTTCTACTACCCCTAAGATATCATACTTATTAGACTTTAAGAGTTCATTCAATTCATATTGTTTCGAAATTCCAAGATGCTGGACATTATTGAATGCTACTATGAGGTCAGTGGTAGTCTTTTCCATTTGTTTTCTCAGTCCACGTCTAGTTTTACTTGGTTTAGAGACTGGGTCAGATAGGGGGGATGTCCTGTAGCTGGAGATATGGCTATGTCATCACCGGTTTCCGAATAACTATTGGTCTCCCAGTGTTGGTGGGCTTCCCTTTGTCTGTATAGTTCAGCTTCAGGGCACCTTGATTTCTTGTGGCCCAAAGCCTTGCACCAATGACACCCGACAGTGCTAGTGTGCCAGCAAGTGTTCGCAAGATGTTATGATTCGCCACACTTACACATGAGGGAGTTTTCTGGTCATTAATATGTTGTATGTGGGCTCGTTGATTATTCCTTCTTGGGGGAGGGGGGACATTGGTATTGCGCTCAGGTTGGTTATCAGCATAGGGCTTGTTGGTTATTTGCTCTTGGGGGTGTGGGGTATTAGTATTACTTTTTGCATTTTGGGTTTTGGGGCATTGAGCTTGTCCTGTTGACGCTTGCAATTGTTTTTGGTGATATCAACCATTTTGCAGTCTAGTGACATTTTTTTGGCCAGTCTGTTCGATTCCAGGTTTAGATAGATGGATTTTGTCACCCCAGATGTAGCCTTCATTAACACAACCATCTTGAAATTTGAAGCCTTGGGTGTCATTATTGATAAAGGTGACTTTTTCATCACCGCATAAGACCTGAAGTTCAGCATTTACTGAGTCAATCTTCTTTTGCACATCTGGTTTGTCAAATCTTGGGCATATACTTGACACAATGGTCTCTTCAGCTACATTCTTATCTCCTTTAATAAGAAGCTGGTAGTCAGATACAATATCCTTGGCAGGTTTGTCACTAGAGCAGTCATTACTGTCAATCTGGAGAACAACGCGGGAATATTTATATATTTTTGGTGAGTTTCTTATTGACATCATTAAAGTCCCCCCCCCCCTGATGCAGTCTACTTCGGTGTTGTTAAGTTTCTCGGAGTCAAAACCACGCAGTATTGATGATCCTAAAACAAGAGTTTGTTTTGCATGTGAGGTTTTTTTTAACTACATGGATTCATTCATTTTGTGGTTCACGTAGTGACTGACACTCTTTATCAAGCTCACAACATGTAGCAGTCTTTGAGGCAAGTTGTTGAACAAGGTCTTCATTTGTTTTCTGGAGAGCAGAGAGTGATTCAGTATTGGCAATAGCTTTTTCTTTTAAAGACAGAGCCTCCACTATAAAAGCAGCTTGACCAGTAAAAATGGAGTCATTCTAAATTTGAAAATATTAGGAATATGAAAAATTCTAATCAAGAGGAATATTTTTGATTTTCTGTTAGTTGTAGCCAACAGATCACCATAAAAATTGTCACAGATGTTTATGAATACATTCTCCTTGAAATTCGTTTATCAATTATTGCAATTATGCTTTACTTTTTTAGAAATCCTTATTTGAAAATTGGTAATTTTTTTAATTAAGAGGAGTGGCCTTATTCAAATTTCGACCAATGAGGTGAGGTATTCAGGGTCACATGATGTAAAGTTTGTTTGTAAATCTTTCAAAAGCACATGTTATAAGTACCATTTCAATAAAACATAATTCATACTAGTGTTAATCATAAGAAATGTGTCATTTACTTACCTACATATGGTATATTAAAGATATGACTCCAAAGACATTATATAATTACAAAATCCAATGTATTTGCTTGATGTAAAAGACTTCAAGATAACCGTATACTGTTCCAAAGACTTGAGATTACTACAATGTACTTGGCCATGGTTCACTTGGCTAACATTGATATAATAAACTCATCTATTGCCTTTTCTAGAGTTTAATGATTTTACAAAAGTTTCTTTTTGCTCAGACTTGCTTTTGTGAGTACTTCCGGCAAGTCAGTGTGAAGATAGCTCTGTCTTTAATTTATTGTTTCATATCCTGTTAGTTCAATCTTGAACATCTGCACTTTATTTTTCTGATGGTTGAGATATGTTCAATGTATAATGACTGTGTAAGAATGAGGTCTCCTGAACAACACAAGGACAAATTCACTATTTTTGATGTTCCATTTGTCCAAAAACCTGTTTACAAGGGTTTTTACCTTAGAGAAAATTTATTAGAACGGGTCTCATATGGAACAACCCTAGGAAATGGGACAATTCATTATCTCTTACCATTTGCATATGGTTACATAAATACAAAAGATCATCAATTTCAAATTTGGAAACACCCTGGTACAACATGGTGATAGAGGTTGAAAAGTGCAGAATTATTGCATAAATGAAGGGCATGAATGAGTGCAACCCTTTGTGGTAGGTAGGGACCAGTTGAAAGAACCAATACAAGTTTTCAATTTGTACAAAATTTCCCATACATTTCAAGCTTTTGTGCTGGCATCTACATTTAATTCTTGAAATGACCCCAAAAGCAATTGCTTTATGATATCAAATTTAGATGTTAGGGATTATTAGAACATGAATCAATTTACCTAAAGGAGACTTACATTTACTTTACATATATTAACTGGAAAATCTATGTAGCAAGCATAACAAAATGTATGAAGACTCTTGGTTAAAAAAATGTTGGTCAATTGCTATCATTCAGTTCATGTTCACTGACTGTAAAGTATGAAATTATAACATGTGCTTTTGTTATGTTTATAAACATAAATATTATCCCATAAAGCATCACTATTAGCTGATTGGATAAGAATTTGATTGACAAGCCTAATGGATGTGACTTGCCTTATAAGGTCTAATGAGCAACCAGGTGGTTCAGAAAGTCTGTCTTTAAGTCCTGAAGAATTTCCAACAAAAGCTGAATAGAGTTGTCTGGAATAGGAGCCTTACCCTTTGCACGTGTTAGCCTAAATTTCCCTCTTAAGGTTGAAGCCAGGCTCTTAGGCGTCTTAGGGGTCGATTTTGACACGAGCCGGGATGAACGTCTCAAGACTGTCTTAGCTGTAGTTTGGCTATTATCAGGTTCTGGCTCTAACTCTATTGGAATATTGATTGTCCCCTCTGGAGTGGTTGCCAAAGACACCCCTTCCTTGGAACAAGATTGAGGGGAGAGGCTAACTCTGTTAGAGATCGGTGAGCTATCTTGAGATGGTCCCTCAAGTTCAGAGTCATCAGGCCCTATTAATTGGGTTAAGGTAACAGTTTTATCCATGCCATTGCTAGGTGGCCAATGTTCTTAGGAGCATGTTCAGGGTTAATTGGTTTAATAAATCCAATATTGCACTTGCAGAATGAACTAATTGGCAATCAATAGGTCACTGTATACTACATCTAAGTATCCTTATAAACTTTCACAAAAATCTGAAGAAAAAATTCTTCAAATATCTCTTTTTGTATAAAGAGTTCCTCTAAGATAATTCCACACTGTATAGCCAAGATATTCGCAATAATCCCTATCTAGTTTTCGAAAATATCCAAAGCTTAATGCTGTGAAGCATCGCCCTATTCTTGGAGAGAAAAATCTGTGCTGCTTTCAACTTAGTGCGGTAAATAATTGACAATGTAAACATTGCATTTAAATTTATAAGAACAATCAAAAATACCGCGCTTATAATTCTAAACTCCATGAAATTACTAGGATAAGACTAGTGCTCGAAATTATTATTAATTTTAGATCTACGCATTATCACTGTTGAAAAAATACTTACCTACGCAAGGCTAATCGTTCTACTTCATCGGTTACAATGTAGGCGAATGAATGATTTGCAATGCTTCTCCAAGTTGGTGTTTCCATGGGAAACATCTCGAGTGTGACGTTTTTGAAATTAACTTTTCGACACTCAGATCTCATTTGTTCCATATCTGTATTCCATATGGAGAAACGAACGCATTCCCTGTCGTTCTTAATTCTACACAACTCGTTGAAAGTACTTCTCTTGGAATACGTCAAACACGTGGAAATAATCCCTGTTAGTTTTTGCAGTAGTTCAAACCTCAAAAAAATTAAAATAAAATTGGTCAAAAACAATGAGACAAATATACACACGCGTTAAATAAGGTTATCTTACTAGATCACGAATTGATTAATAAAATGTTTTTTGTTTATATATTTTATATGATTGAGGTTGCTTTGTAGCGTGAAAATGGATAAATAAAATTTCTGTGTAAATTCATCACTCTGGTAATATATTAATAATAACTTAAGTTCATTTACTTCAGAGTAAAATGTTTTATTTTCGATGTTTCGCTAATCATCCAACTAGTTTTATCAAGAATGAAATGATAAATAAAATGTTTTTTAATTTCTTTTATGATGGAGGTTACTTTATAGCGTAAAATTATATAAAGCCTAAACTATTTTAATCCTATTTCACCATAAACTTAACAAGCAATTTTACTAATGCTAAAGAAAGTCGACTTTTTAGCAAACTTCTTAATCCTTGAATGCACCAAATGACCGATTTTATCAAATTTCCTGATTGTTCAAAATGTTCCTGGCGCCTTTCGAGCGATATATACTACTCGTATCTGCAAGTTTCATTATACAAATTCTTATCCGAAGTAATTTTCAAACACATGAACTTAAAGACTCTGAACCTGTATTGATTTCATTAATACACAAACCAAATCATCAAAAACTATGAACAAAGTCGTAATTTATTAGGCAGAGATTCCAGGCGGCTGTGACCCACACTTTCTGAAAATGATTTTTTACATTTTAAAGTATCTGAAGTGAAACGTAATAAGTACATCAACAGAAATTTGAACGAAAGCGCTGATATAAATGAATTACCGGCAATAACCTTGGGTAACAAACTTTTCAGGATGACGCCCCTTCTCACTCTCCAACCCAACCTCGCAAAGTATGGATTCTAATCGGCTGTTTACAGTATCATCTGAAAATGTATTTTCCTAAAAGATAAAAAAGTTCATGATTGATTTTCACATTTTAACACGTGATGAAACAAACGTACAATTAAAAAAAATAAGACTGAATGACACCGCTGACATAATTCAATCATCATAATAACATTCCTCGATGTCCTTCATAGTTCCAACAAAATCTGGAACGCCTATTGATGTTTCCAGTCGAAAAATAAATGTTCTTCTGCAATTCCATGACCAACTTGACAATTTATTCATGTGTTGAATTAAAATATTCAACGTAATGCTGTTGATGCAATTATTTGACCGAATTACGGTAAAAACAATTGCAAGTTGCAAAAGCATTTAGGATTGTAGTCGTTGATTTATAGAATGGTTTCAAGTAAGATATAGTTTGGTCATTTTGTCAGAATATAAAGCAGGACAAGTATTTATTTTAAATAGAGGGAACTATTTAAACCAGATATCATTGTTGACGGTTAACTGCTATGTGAATGTCTTTATTAATATATGTAAACAATGTGTTGTTGTTTTAGCAGTTAAAACATTACATTTATAAAATTGATAGTCTTGTTTATATCAATTTGTAGTAATATTTATATGTAAGTGCGTCATACAGCTTTGTAAATGACAAAGTCATGACAAAAATAAGTTAAGTTAATTCCTTTGTATCTTATTCCAGTATTGCATCATGCACCTCTGCCTTTGAAAAAATACTAATGGAACTTAAATGCATTGGTAATGCTTACTTCGGTCCAAAGCCTTCTCTATATTCCGGCTTTGAGGAGGAAGATTGAGCTGCCTGTAGTATTATAAATATTGTAAATCATTGTGTCACACGCACAGTAAATATGGCATAATAATATGAAATATACCTTTATGTATAGATTTGAAGAACATCAGCTCACATCCCCGTCTGAATCTATTGTTATATTTGATTTCTTTAAGCGAGAATAATTTCAAATGTTATTCACGTCCAGAACCGGAAGCCATTTTTAGCTACAGCGAGAAAATTTCACCATGTGTCAAACTCCGAAATGAAATTTTGAAATATCTAAATCCAGACAAGCAACGCTTCATCCTAAATATGATTAATATTCTTAAAAATATTTATAAAATTTATTAAAAATGAGTTCTAGGTGCGTGTAGGTGCGTATAGCCATTACATACGAAATCAATGAAGTTTCGTCTAGCTGTAAGCTAGAGACTCGAGTAAGGTAATGCAGTCCTTTCTCTAAATGCAGTAGTAATGCCGTAGCCCGGGGGTTTACTCTAAATTATTTGGGTAGGTATGTGCAGCATGGGCGATTCTGGCTTATGGCATAAACCATGAAACCTGGCCAATTTGAGAGGAAAAACATGGAAAATTTGTCGAAGAATCGCCTTTTTAATTCAAAAATCAGTTTTTCAAAAAATAATGCTAATACATCAGTAAAATCAATTTGCGAGGTCTGGTGCAAATCATCCGAAAAGAGGATTTTTTTAGTTAATATACCAATATTAGTCAGGAAATTTACTGAAAGGAAGTATACATGGAAACTTACAATCTTGTGAGGAAATTGACAAGGAAAAATGCTCAAAAGGGGGTCTTTTGCGCGGCACATAGGTATTGAGAGGTATATTGGAGTGAAACCCCCGGGCGCCGTAGTAATTGATGACTACTGATGGAGAGAACTACTTTTATACTTGTGTCATTCTACTGAACTGTTATCCGTAAAGGCTTAATTATGACACAAGGTTAGAATTACGTTATCTTTAATTTCGATATTATGCTTTGAACATTGGATTTTTGGTCTTAATAAATTGCGACTGGTCCTTTGGCAAAAAACGAATTGAAAATATGTTACATGAAGATTGTTTTGTAATCAAATAAATAAATTCAAAGAACAGCTGTCCTTTCTAAAAGTATGACACAAGAGTTTTTATCGGAAAGCATATCAAAACATGCTAATGTTTGTAAATAGATTCTGTTTATTCATTAAAAACTGAAATTCATGAAAAATCGATGTTTATGTGGATTGTCAAACATACTGTAAATAGGCCTAATAAGTTATCAAAAGGGGATTTGCAGTTTCAAATCTCATGGATGGTACTGTGCAATTATTGAACATACATATACGTTAATAAAATAAGACAAATATCAATTACTAGTTAGTATTTGGTTGTGTCAGTATGAACTGAGTAGAAACGTTTGAATTAAGGAAACTGGGGTTAAGACGGATACCAATATCACAATAATGATAGCTGATTTCTCAATGAGTGCAAGGATGAATAACATTTTCTAGAAGCTTTTTTGTTTATTCTCATTTATTTTTTAACAATTTTGATCTTAACACTGTCTTATAATGCGGTAAACACGATACAAAAAGGGTGCATGACAGATTCATTTGCGGTATAATGCATACCCACTAACCAATGGGAAAGTGATACGGAAGTACGCAATTGTTAATTGCATCGAATGATCAAACGGGCGAAGGTTTATAGATTATTATAATGATTACTGAATCAATAATACATTTATTTTATTAGAGTGGCATGCATCATAAAACATATATAATACAATTGAAACATATATAATACAATTAAAACATTCTGGTGTAAACGAAATAATAGTCCCCTGGGGATTATGGTCCCCTTTCCTTACGGCCTTTGTTGGTCCTTAAATAATAAGGAAAATAATTGCAATTAGGTCATCATGTAGATCTTTGTTGGTCCTTAAATAATAAGGAAAATAATCGCAATTAGGTCATCATGTAGATCAATAGAGAGTAGGACCAAAATTTGAAAGGACAGTTGTATTATACGTCGCAATGGAGCCTACTAAAATGGATAAATTCTAAATTCTGAGTCAGACGCAATCTGGGACATTCTAGGACAATCTGACGCAATCTGGGACAATTTAGAGCAATACGAGAGCCAGCAGTCAATAGGGAGGCTCGAATCGACCTTCATTTTGGGATGAATCCAAAGTCTTGCGGATGAGGAATTTCACCATCTGAAGATGTCGTTTTTCCACCATTTATGACGTCATTTTTTCAACATTTAGAGATAAGACCATATATTAAATAATGAGACCAGTTTCAGACCACCTCAGCATTGACTTGAACATGTCATCTGGGAGTGGAAAGTATTTTTAATGCAGATACTGCACCAAGAAGTTTACGTCTATTTCCAATAGGAATGCTCAAGAATGATACGCTCATGGAAAAAGACGTGTTAAGTGTCCATCCTGCGACAAAAGCTATGCTTAAAATAGTAAGTTGAAGACGCATTTAAATAAGTACCATTCCGACCGATCAGCTGATCATCATAATCCTCAGCCTTCTACATCTACTCAAAATGCACCGATGGACTGTGAAGCGCTTACTGAGGAGGATTTCCGACTGTTCGATCTATTAATGGAAGAAATGATGCGTAATCCTCCCAGCCCCGTAACTGTTCACAGGCAAATGGATGAAATCCTGAGGATTGCCGGTATCGGAGATGACCTCGCGCATGTTGAAGGGGAGCCCATTACAGTTCAAATGGGTCATGGGGATAATGATTACAAGAATGACAATCGGAACACGCCTCAACCTTATGAAAATGCAGATGGCAGCATAGATAAACGTTTGAGAGACATGTACCAACAATATAGTCGCATTATATACTCTCCACACACTCCACGCTATGTCGCAAGAATATAATTTCCACTTACCCACTGGCCAGCTCACGATTGATGAGATAAGAAGACAACTCAACGAAATTTACGATGCTGAAAAACAAGTATTCAAAATACAGTTTGGGGTTAATCATAAGCAATAAGGACACAGGAGAAATGCGATTTTTCTACCCTCACAACAATGAAGCCATGTTGGAGATTCCTACTCTGATATCCAACAGACAAGACCTGGATGGTTTGCTAGAACGTTTGAGTGTGGTAGATTTCGAGGAGCAAGTCCGCAGAGCTCGTCCAGATACCAGATGGCTTCCTTATAGACTAGTGATGACCCACTGGTTAGTGAATCCATTCGACTTTGCTTTGGGTGCACCTGTTGAATTACCACGGTCCCTATGTAAAAAACAACCCAGCAATCATTACGCTGATATATGATAAGCACACAGGGAGACTATACTGTGATCGACTTTGCGCATTCAGATGTTTAACCTATCTTAGGTGTAAGAATCTGAAATCGATCACCTCCACGATTCACCCTTTAATCGAAAAGTGGCGACAAATCGCAGAAAATGAATGTCAAGAAGGTGTGAGGCTGCATGAAGTAACAAAACACATCCAATACGTTCATAGAAATAACAGGTTCTTGATTTGCTTCACTTGTGGGAAGACATTCAAACATAACCAGTATTTGAGTACTCATTTGAGAGTAAATTGCAAGCAACAAAAGGATATTTTAGCTAATGCAGGTGCATACTTTATTTTTTCATTTTTCCATTATACATCTAATGAACAACGATTTTAAAAATTTATTTTTCAGTGGAAACATTAGTAGGAATACCAGATTTGGTTGTAACTTTACAGAATATCGAGGAAGGTTATTATAACTAGATTTTGGAAATTGAACGAAGTTCAATTTCAGACTCCAGATCTAGACTTTTTTTAGCCGAGTCATCCAGAATAAGCCGAGTCATCCAGAATAAGCTGAGTCATCTAGAAAGAGATGGATAAATAAAATAGGAAGGTAGGATAGGATAGAATAGGAAAGAACGATAGGATAGAATAAGAAAGAAGGATAGGATAGAATAGAATAGGAAGAAAGGATAGGATAGGATAGGAAGGATAGGAAGGAAAAGATATGAAGGAAGGATAGATAGGAAGGATAGGGTAAGGATGGATGAATTTTTCAATATTTTCTTCTCTACTCTTGACTTTCTATCAGGATACCATCAGATCGATTTTTCTCGAAATTTCAAAACGCTATCACTTCCGAACCAGAAGTCGGATCGAATTTTGGTTTGCAGATTCGGATTCCTGACAAAATTCTACCCCTAATTCATAACTCATACGTTAAATTTGGAGATTTTTTATTTTGACCTACTTTTCGGACACGCCATAACTTCCGAACTGGAAGTTGGATCGAAATTTGATTTGCAGATTCGGATTCCTGACAGAATTCTACCCTTAATTCATAACTCATATATTCAATTTGGAGAACTTTTTATTTTGACCTACTTTTCGGACACCATATCTCAAAAGTGGGTCAAAATACTTTCTGACGGCAAAAGGCTAACACTAATAGCATATTCTTGGCTACATGTATACACAATTTCGAAGAATATAATTAAAGTGTAGTGTCAGAATCGAAAAAATAAGGAAATAAAGTAATTATGATGTCATTAACTTAGATAACATATCACTGCTTAATTACTGGAATTAGTATCATCCCACTGATTATAAAGTTTTTTTTTTTTATAAAGTAAATTTTAAATTCATGTAAGTCTATCAATGTGGTATAAAAGTAGGAATCCTTCGGATACACCCATTACAATTTCAGAATGGAGCAGTGCTTACTTGTGAAAACACATTTGGTCAAAAAGGGGCGCATGCCCTATCATTTGATGAAGTGTAAAAGGCAGCACCATCGACGTGGTGAAATTGTACACTGCTGGTACAATCACTCTCATGCTATGATGCCGGAGGAGTTAATGGAGGTAAGTTTATTAATCATAATTGTTTTCTTCATCAAGATTGGTGACCTGTTGCAATGGAACTAAGTGCGACTATTGAATTTAACTAACGTGACACGTGTACATATATCACGTGCTACTTTTAATTAATCTTAGCATTTTAATGATTATGAATCAATGTATTCCCATCATGGTAATACTCAAGTCCAGAAAATAACTTGGTAATGAGAATATGTATGTGGTGTGATTGTTTTATAAATCAAATCGACTCCTTGAATGTGATTATATTCACTGTGCATTCAGTGGTGAATCAATGAATTAATGCTGTTTTATTATTATTCTATTAAGCACGAGAAGCATTGTAAGAACGCGGTGCCAGATGTGGATAAAAAAAGTAAAAAACAGCATCTATATAATAGATATAAAATGTAAGCTTTAACAAAAAGTAAATAAATTAATGATGCGGAAAGTGAAAATAATTACTAGTTACAGTGAATTAGAGGAAACAATATAGCTCTAAGCTTAACACTCTCCATAGTATGTATGCGTTATTTATAGTACGTTTATTACATAAGTGTTATCTTAAAAATTCATTCAACTTTAAAATACGCTTAACCATGTATATTACAAGATAAGTTTGCTTGATTACATATTTCACTGTTATTACAGGCTCAATTTGGTGAAAGAGGCTGGATCAGGAACTGCTCAGCACAGCAATATGATAGGATGCGGTGGGCTGGAGTAAGTAAGTAAGTACCACTTTAATTTTCATAAGTGATGCTTAATTAATAATATTGATTAAGAATGATTATCATCTACATCATACTATAGTAATACGATTGCCTTGAATGTTCCAGAGTTCATTCTTAGAGTGATAAAGTTTTGATATCTGAATGAGTCATTAAAGACCATGTTCACTTCAAACTTTGATGATAATTTACTTTCATATCAACTGATCAAGACTAAGGTGATATACAGCTAATTTTATATGACTACATGATAATGATGGATTTTATTTTTCTCTTGTTTTTCAGTGTGGGGATACAAGCACGAGTAATCAGCAAACCAAAAATGGACAATAGCATGATATTGACGTGTTAAAATATGCAATAATATATTTTAAAATCTAAATATTCTCTTATGTTATACAAGTGAGAGTATACGTTTTTGTAAACGTTTATGGTATGTACTGTATAACATGTGGTTAATAGTGTGTTCAGTAATATATCCCTTCTTAACGTTCATAGTTTGGTAATGAACTGATCATATAAATAATTTTTCGCATACTGTTTCTTAGAGAGTTGATATTTCATGTTATACTATACTCACCATATTATTATTATTATTATTATTTATTTCCTTACATTGTATAATATTACAATTACATGAAGTGGAAGACCCCCTATTGGGGATATTATCCACAAAGTAGGAAATTACAAAATGAATTGATCAAATCGCCTGTACCTACCCCCTCTCCGAGGCCTGTTCGCTCATGTGGTAAGGATATGTAAAATAAAATTTTGCTTTGTGCCAGAATGAAAGGTGATGTACCTAGATTAGATACTTGAAAATTGCAAGAAACAGTATATAATTTCACACTAAAATATATTGCTGAATGGTCAAAATAATAGTGTATTGGATTGAACATATACTTCATGACAACAATTTTAATTTCAATTTACTTTTAAATTTAGAAGGAGAGTTAATGTGTTGCAGGTCATCTGTGAGATTATTCCAGGAATCAGGTCCCTGTTTACTGATAGAAAATTGTCCAATATTAGTTCTAAATTTCGAAGGTCTCAGTTTTAATTGCTGTCTTGTCAGGTGTTCATGAATTTCTCTATTTGGGGTGAAGTAATTATTAAATTGTCTCTCATAAGTTTTATTGATGCCTTTAACACATTTAAATACATAGAGAGCAGTGTTAAGTTCAACAATTTGGAAGATGTTTAGTATGCTGGCCTCTTTAAAATAAGGGGCTGTATTATCTCTAGGCTTACAGTTATTAAAAAGTATTCTTATGAATTGTTTTTGTAATCTATGGATTTTAAGTAGGTATGAAGGTGGAACATTCCCCCAGATTATAATATTGTAATTGATGTAAGAATAAATAAGAGAGTAGTATATCGTTTTTAGTGCTTTGTAATCTAAGTTTTGTTTGACTCTATGGAGTACTGCCAAAGTCTTTGATATTTTTGTTTCAACATGTCTTATGTGAGGCTTCCAGGAAAGATGTTCATCGATAAGCACCCCTAGGAAATTACTTACTTCAGTCCTACGTATGACAGTATTGTTCATGGATATTTGGATTTTGTCATAATCAATAACTTTTTGAGGTGATTTAAAAACAAGATAGTTAGTTTTAGCAGGATTTAAAGAAAGCTTGTTGCATTTGAACCATTCACTTATAGTAGAAAGCTCATGATTTATGGTCAAGTTAAGTTGTTCAAGATCCTTACCAGAAAATAACATGTTAGTGTCATCAGCATATAAAAACATTTCAGCAACGTCAGAGGATTTGTAGATGTCATTAATATAGATAATAAAGAGGAGGGGACCTAATATAGTTCCCTGTGGCACATCAAAAGACAAATTAGCAGTATTGGAGAGAGTACCCTCAATATCAACAACTTGTGACCTATTTGAAAGATAACTTTTGAACCAATCGGAGGCAGTTCCCCGAATACCATAGTGATCTAACTTTTGTAACAAAATGTCATGATTTAATGTATCGAACGCTTTGGAAAGATCACACATGATTCCAATACAGTATGATTTTTCTTCAATTGCCCTGCGCACAGTTTCGACAAATTTCAAGATTGCCATGAATGTGGAGTTGTCTTTTTTGAAGCCGTATTGGTGAGCATACAGGATGTTCTGTCTTTCCAAAAAATCAACAATTCTTGTGGCCATACATTTTTCATAAAGTTTCGAAAAAACAGATAAAAGAGAAATTGGTCTATAATGAGTAAAAGTGTCCATTCTGTCTTTCTTATGGATAGGTAGTACCTTGGCAAATTTTAAGTCTTCTGGGAAAATTCCATGAGTGAAAGATAGATTAATAAGATGAGTCAATGGTTGAGAAACTAGGTCACTATGTAGTTTAATAATTTTTGGCTTGAAATCATCAGGACCTGCAGCAGAGTCTTTTAGATTAAGTAGCAACTTAGTAACTTCTTCATTATCAACAGGATTAAGAAAAATAGAGTTAACAACCTTAGGTATCTTATTTAAAAATTCATCATAAGTTTTATCAGAGTGACCTATAGCATCAGAAGAGTTTTTTCCAATATTTGCAAAAAAATCATTGAACCCATTTGCTATATCTTTTTTACCTGAAAAAGACTGATTCCTATCAAAAAATCTATTTGTTTAATAACGTCTTGCAGAATGTCTGCTCTGTCTTGATCATTAGTATGCGAGGCATACACGACTCCGTCCTTTTGAAGTTGAATTTCTTCAATGTCGAATTGTTCCTTGTCTATAATGGGCTCTGCAACTTGAATAAATTCAGCTACTCGAAAGACGATTCTTTTGTACTCTGCAAAACAGACAGCATCAATAGCGTCCATAATACAGTAGTCCATAGTAAGTAGACAATCATGTCCCATTTGATTATCACACTGTATTTATTCGTCACACGCAGGGCAATCTTGACTCGATCTGATGCATTCAGCTCGTATGTATTCCCTATTGAACAAATATACCATGGATGCTTTTAAAATATCCAAAGATGACGGTTTATTCAATTTCTTTTGCTCGATTAAGCAGTTCCCGTTATTGTTTTTGTTCTCTTTAACCAATGCGTCATCTTCTGACATCACAATACACCATGACGTGCTCCACTGACCAAATGTTTTACCACCTTCTGGCTTAAGGTGGTAGTGTCGAAATAACATTATGATATTGTCATTTTCTGGCGCAGTAAGTATTGCCTTTCTCTTCAAAGTTAGATAATCATCCACCTCTTGCCCGAGAGATAACCATTCAGTGTACTTATCACTTTCAATGTTTTAACGACATTTGCTTGATTGACTTTAGCTAATTGAACGAGAGTGGAATCTTCATTTTTAACTAGAGATACAGGCTCGTGTTGCTATCACTTGCTAGTGAAATCGCCCGACTTCATCAGATTACTGACAGTTCTCTGTGTATTTTTTCAGCGCTCTCCAAAATTGATCGCACACGAACATACGGTGAAAGTACTTTTGTTTTTCATTTGCTAAAATTCAGACTGAAGTAACTCTCCGTAAATACCCTTGGAGTACAGCAAATGTTGAAAGGGACATCTTTTGTCTAGTCGTGAGATCTGAGCATGGCTGTCAGCTTGATGAATTTCAAAATTCAACTTAACAATCTAACTTTTCGTCGGTCTTTATATATACCATCTAAATGTTGAAAAAATAGATGTTAATTAATGGTGGAAAACGACATCTTCAGATGGTGGAATTCCTCATCCACAGGATTTTGGATTCATCCCAAAATGTAGGTCGATTTGAGCCTGCCTATTGCCAGCTGGCTCCCGTATTGCTCTAAATTGTCCCAGATTGCGTTAGATTGTCCTGGAATGTACCAGATTGCGTCAGATTGTCCTCGAATCAAATTTCCCGATTGTTCCAATTGTGGCTGTATTGCGACAATATACTTCTAAGAACCACGACAACGACTATTGGACACTATACGAGTAAATTATATGTAGATCATTTACACAGGCAGGGATCGAGTCATTTTCTGCTGTAACGGAGCATACTATTTTTCATCAACTCCTGTAGAAAACGTCATAATTTATTTTTAAATCATATGTTTCGTTATCCCAAAGAAAATAACTTACTCCGTGCTATTGATCATTTTCGGGTAGCCTTCACTTCTGTTTGAAGTCCAATAACGATAAAAGCTTTTGAAAACGGCGCCAGTGTATTGTTCTCTAAAATGTACAATTTCTTTTTTAACCTTTTAATGGCATGACATAGTGTCATGATGATATTTACATATGTTTTCAGCATAATGCTGAAGGTATAAAGGAGATCTGGAATGTATTGGATCTGTTTAATGAAAAAATAATGTTTCAGTTTTTTGTCCGCATTGACAGAGCAGTCTCCAATTTGAATTACATTAAGACTTTAAGATTTATAATATATAAAATCTTAAAGTATCTTTAGACACATTTTACATTAATACTTGTCATAATTTAGAAACATGTTTGACACATTCTCTCCTTGAAAGCGTAGTGGTAAATGAATAAACACAAGAAGCACACGTGTCTCGAACTCTCAACCTCTTGGTTACGGCGCCCAATCGCCTAGCTCGAACGTGCCGACGCTCAAGCCCTCTCGGCCAACTCGACAACCCCAAAAAGGTTGTTTTGTCAGTCGATCTGACTAGAGGCAGCTGATGTTAACGCTCGAACACACCAGAGGAAGCACAACGGACATTTTCTACACACACACACTGCTCAACTGTCCTCAAGTGGTAAAATATATACATGGTAACATAATATACAATCAATCACATTCTTGATAACGTTCCATTTTTTTAATGATTATTACATTTTTCATAGACCCGTCTAACAGACATTAAAATTTTGCGTGGTGTAATTTTTCTGTAATATACAACTATTTGCTGAGCACAGCTACTTGGTACTTAATCACTCTGGATATTCACACACTGAAGTCATGTTTGAATTGCAATAAAGAATCCTACATCATTCTATATTGTGAATATATGAGGGCATGTACTAACCCATACACATAATGCACGATTTCTAAAATGTTATATTGGATTAAACACATTTGTCTCATGACTATATTATCTATAATTCTCCTATTGTCGCAAAAAGACAACAATTCATATTAATATTTAATATGTATCCCTATGTATCATGGGCAAAAGATATAACATGTCTCTCTGACTGATTGTATGATATGTCATCTTGCACTCTTGACAAAAAATCTAGAAATGAGAAATAAATATCTATATAATTTAAAAAAATCAAAAGAAATCTTGTACTCTTGACCCATGATCAATATCACTGTCAACTTATTACATCTAATTGTATCTTGACGGTTGTATATTTTCACTCTACTTTACCTTGTATTTGGTTTTCATGAGCAACCCATTTGGCTTATTAGTAATGATTATGTTATTTGTTTTTATATGGCTGTTCCTTATTAACAGTTTATCGGATGACTGTTAGAAATTAATAAGGTATTTTCCAATATATACTCATCAAAACAATTAGACAAACAGGGTATCTTATGCATTTATAGGGGTTAGGTATAGTGGAGTGATTTTAACCTACTGTCTGTTCACATTTCTTGCATTTTAAATATATAAGGGTTGTTCAAAAGGTTTTGCACACATACAGTGCGTATCAAAAAAATGCAACAGATTGTTATCTTGGAAAAGCACAAAACCAGTGATAACAGCATTGATTTCATTCAATGCACCATAAAGCCATGTGTCTCCTCATTACAATGATATATCATTCATTGATATTTGGTCATGGTTGGGCGAGTAATCATTCCATTTGCAAAGTGGGCCAAAATTAGTTTCGGGCCAAGTTATAAACATTGCAAAAGCCAGTGTACGGAGCCCGATGCAATATTGGACGAAAACATAAAACCAATGCCGACTGCATCCTTTTAATTCAATGTACCAAAAGCCAAATTACTCCTCTTTGTAATGGAATATCATTCATTCACAGGGATACATCTCTGGCCGAATTATTATTAATTTTGCAAAGTGGGGCAAATTTAAGCTCGGACCCAAGTTTAAAACATTGCAAAAGTCAGTACAAGGGGCATAGGGGATATTGGAAGCAGGTGTGACAGGTATGGCATAGACAGTAAATTGTTCATACTCATACTCTTGCAAGGAAACATCCTATACTCCTCCAAATTGCCAACACTTCCTTGCACATAAAGATGCGCTCATCTGTCCACGTCATGCATGGTTCAGCCCTGAATCATGTGTGGGTTAAAGCAAAGAAAAGCAGCCCATGGGCAAATCTTTCTCAAGGTTTTGCAATATCTGGTGGAGGAATTGTGAGCACAGATGCTCCTGAGATAGCTCCAAAAGAAAAAGTCACAACAATTCAAGTCAGGGGAACTTCCATTGGCACTTAGCCCTTGCACTGATTTTTCAATATCTAAAACTTGGTGCAGAGCCGATTTTGACCCACTGTGCAAATGGAAGGATTTCTCACCCAACCATTACCACATGTGAATGAATGACATATCATTGCACAGAAGAGAGACGTGGCTTTATGAAACATTAAATGAAATTGATGTAGTCATCACTAATTTTGTGATTTTACGAGATAACTACTTGTTGCGTTTTTTTTGATACGCCCTGTATATCTAATTGTGAAAATAATTGACCAATCGTGTTAACAGTTAATGTGTATGTGCCCATATCTTATTTCCTCACACTGTAAAAGCAAAACAAAATTGCCTTTCTGGCGGTGCATTACTTTATTGTAAAGAGTCCCTCGTTCTAGCAGCGTTTTGGTCCCCAGCTGTTAGAAGGCCTTCTTACAGCTGGGGCCCAAAATGCCGCTGGAAGTAGCGACTCAGTTTAAGAGAATAATCTACCCTCAGAAAGAGATTTTTGTTATGCTTTGAATGGAACAAGTTTGAAGAAAAACGGTGCAGTATGAGACTCGTAATCCTTGATTTTCAAACATCCCGTAGATCAAAAATTAAAATTAACGGTCGAAGTTAGGACCGCAAAATATTGTCAAATGTAGATTTTGAGACATTTTCCTTTGTCTTCGTTCAGTTTTTAATTTTTTTTATTAAGATACATGCGGCTCAATGCCCTGTCAGAACAATGGTATTTGTACTGACGAAATAGACGGCTACAAATGTGAATGTTGGGATGGATATACCGGAAGTTATTGTGAAACGGGTATGGGTGTTTTTTAGTCATAATTATTAGTATATTGCGCATTGCATTTATTTGATGAGCATTCATTCATCACTTACTTTCGAAACCGGAAGCGATTGTGAAACGGGCATGGGTGTTAAACGCTGTCTCACTACACCTGCTTTAGTTACAGTTCCTCATACTTCTAGATATAGACGAGTGTGCCCAGGATCCCTGTCACAACAATGGAACCTGTACTGATGAAATCAACAGCTATACGTGTGAATGTAGCGCTGGGTATACTGGGGTCAATTGTAAAGGTATTTATATACTATTTAGTCAATTTATGAGTAACCTTTTTTATTTAAATGCTATTGCAGGATTTCAAATGAATGATTATACGGCATGTACCTCATCACTCTACTATACCTTGCATTTGGTGTTCATGAGCAACCCATTTGGCTTATTAGTAATGATTATGTGTTTGTTTTTATTTGTTTGTTCCTTATTAATGGTTTATCGGTTGAATGTTGGATGTTACTAAAGGCACTTTCAAAAATATACTAAACAATACAATTAGACAAACAAAGTATATTATGCATTTCTAGGTGTTAGGTATAGTAGAGTGTCATCTGCATTATGGTTTATTCACTCTACCTTGCATTCGGTGTTCACGAGCAACCCATTTGGCTTATTAGTAATGATTATGTATTTGTTTCTATTTGTTTGTTCCTTATTAATGGTTTATCGGTTGAATATTATTAGTAATGGTTATGTTGAAACCCATACAATGTGGTTTTCGCCCCATTAACACCCCAGTCACATTTGAATAACATTTATAAATTGTCCCGATGTAGATAAAGTGAAAAAGGTATTATTTATCAACAGAAATTTAAAATTCACCGTGCGGCTGCCGTGGGAAATGTGACTGCAAAAGTATGAGAGCGCAGAAAATTCACGGCGAGTGTAGAAATGTTACTGGCCGCGAAATGATAGACCGCAAGGTCGCAGTAGGAAATGTGACTGGGGTGTTACCCACCATCTTTCACGGCTACATTGTACCAAATGCTGGTGGAGCCTGATCAACTCTGCTTGGGGTAACTCCTCATCATATTTGCTTCAGTTTAATCCCCGAAAGCAGGAGGAGTGAGACTGCTGACAATATCCAGCACTGTTAGAGCATCTAAGATGTTTTAAACAACCATGTTATTTGATTTTATTTGTCTGTTCCTTATTAAGGGTTTATCGGATGACTGTTGACTGAGTCCATTTCACTGCTTCATTGCGTCAGTAGAACGGCAAAAATAAGAAATTGGGAGACCATTGAGCAATAATATATGGAAAAGTATATTCATAATGTACATGAATGACATTTGTATATTTCAGATTTTTTAGTTTTTTGTGCAATAAGCCTGTGCCGTCTTCTAATTTGAAGAATTTCAGCCATGTTAATCTTATTGAAAATAACATGACAGAGAAGCATCCAAATATAAGAGACCACACACTTTATAAGCCAAACTAGAAGCAATCCAAGATATACAAATGTCATTCATGTACAATAGGGATATATTTTTCCATATATTATTGCAAAATGATATTTTGATTTCTTATTTTTTAGCTTTTACTGACGCAGTTAAACAATGAAATGGACTCTAGATGTTAATAAGGCATTTTCGAAAATATACCGTTGTCAGAGTAAATATAGTCTCCCTGAATATATGGTCCGTAGGACCATACACCCTAGGACACCAGGTCCTCCGGACCTGGTGTCCTAGGGTGTATGGTCTTAACCGGACCATATTTTCTGTATGGTATACAATATAACCCCGGACTATATTTACTGGCGGACTATAAAAACGTTGACAGCAGTGACCGAATATATTGTCCGGTTAGATTTTGGTCCTATCTGTTATTTTTATTTTTAATGTATAGATGTCGTACTATAGCAGTACTATAATATACACTTATTTGATATCTTATCAATGAATTAAAAAACGCTGATGGCATCCAATCACTTATAGTGTAGTGGTTAGAACAGTCTTCTGACTGTTGTCTATGGTGTGGATCGACTCCCACTCTTTCCTTATTTTTTTAATTTCTTTTCCATATTCTGCATATAATGGAACTAAACTGCATTGGTATATTCGTTTACTCAATTTGCTGTGATGATTTTTAATACTAATTCACGTAAAGGAGACTATAATTTCTAGGTAATTCTGTCCCTGAGACAACTTATTCTTAATTTTCAAGATGTACGTGTCCATGCGGACTATCTTTTCTGGTTGCTTCGGTCCCCAAGACAACTTATCCTTATTTTTCTAGTTATAGATGTCCAGGGGGACTATGTTGTCTACTTACATTTGTCTAGAGACTATAAATACTGGGTAGTATAGTCCCATTGGTAATACAATTTTAAATAACTATTGGAATATGTGAGCATATTGTCGTGCATAATTGCACACGATTCACTGATTTACATCTTTACAAGAGTTATAACACCACGGGAATCATCACGGCCATTTCATTTCTTGAAAGAATAAAATAATTCTAAAATTAGATTCCCTTGGTTTTGGGTGAATCTTATTCGATAGTGCAATTCATTTAACCTTCAATGTTGAACTCATAAATCTTATGGTTTTTGCAATTTGTCCATGCTTCATTCATTTCCGCGGGAGCCATCATGGATGAAACAAGAAAAAGGGTGGACATAGAAAACATACTCAGATACGCAACATCAAAATGTTACCCACATGGTTCATCTGCCAATAAAAAGCGAGCAATAAGAAGGGCAGCTAAAAACAACTACAAAGTGAGTTTTATGCATTTTTCATGGAATTAAAATTATGAAGCATTGAGGTTGTCCTGTTTGTTCCTAATTTTGATGCTCTCCTCAATAGTCACATGTAATTTTTCAAATGTGAACTACTTCCCCACATTGCCCAGTTGCCCGCATCTTTCAGTTGTGCACAAAGAGTGCGCTTATGTATCTGGAAAAGACCGTTTGTAATATTGTGTTCCTAAAATGTATAAAAATGTGAACAAATAGCGACCTTCATTTTTAAAGTAAACTTTATTGAATTATACAAATGTGATTTGTGTAACTTATGTTTTTCAATATATTATTGCACAATAATCTTTAGATTTCTCATTTTTAGTGCCAATTGGTTGCTTTGAAGCTGTGTAACAAACGTTACATTCTTTTCTAGGTATATCAGTGCAATCATTGTGCAAATGTAAAAGATGTAGACAGTAAAATAACATGTGGCTACAATAAGAACTGCATAAATTCCCAACGTACACATCTATCTATCTTAGTAAATCATATTTTAGTCATATTTGAGAAAAGATTGCCCCCCCTCTTGTTTTCGGGTTAGATTATGAGGCCTGGTTGTATTATCTTTAGCTTTCAAAAAATTATAACCAAGGATGAATACGCAAGGAAATACATGTTCATCAATCTAATTAATTCATCATTTCGAACCGAAAATGAACATGACAAAGTATACTCCCCTTTATAGATTATTCAATTAACATCTAAACTGTCTGTTAATACGCCCTATCGTCATTATAAATATCACATTCAATTTCAAATATGTTTTGGTGCAACAATAAAAACTTCATATTAACAGCTTGAAAACGGAATATTATACTACAAGATGGCGCGGAAGATTGGTCGAGATGTTGCCGATGGATCCTCTGATTCAACAGACAATGAATTTGAGAAAAAGGATGATGATTGGAGAAAGGTCATTACTGATCTACAGGAGAGGAAAGACCTACTAAAAAGCATGCACTCTTCCAGACTGGGTATGGGACTTTGGATTTCTGTTATAGCACTACTATTGTCCAAAACTATTGTCAAAAAATCTCAATAATTGTTAAATACAGAATCTTGAATGCGTATACTTTTTTGTCAGTAAAATATATTTGTATATTCAATTACAATTACCATTCAATTGTAAAATAAAACGTTCTTCTAAATTAATAGAATGTGAAAATCAACGCATATACATACAAAACTTAACAATTTGAGATTGAATAAGATGTTATTTGGAAAATGAATAGATGTTTTTTTCGAGCGTCTCATTTTTTGGAATCGAAATCTATATTTTGCAGGTGGTCACTTTGGAAGAGACAAGACTTATGATAAGGTTAGTAGGACATTTTGGTGGCCAGATCTTATAAAAGATGTGGCGGAATACATACAACGGTGTGACCCTTGTCAGCGAGTTAATGACAAGCAGAAAAGAGTGAAACCCGAACTCAATCCGATTCCTGTGAAGCAAGCGTCGCCTTGGAAAAGCGTAAGTTATTTTTAGTTATTTCAAATTATATCTAATTTATCTACCTTCATATGATTTAGTTTTGAAAAATAGAATTTACACTTCGTCAAAATACAAACAACATTACAAAGAAGTCTTTAATGTTACTTTGCAGCTTTGTCAATCCAAAATCGTCTTTATAGTCATGATGCAAAATTGAAAATTAACACCCACTATGTAATCCAATATAACTACTTTTCAATATATCATCTAATTCTTATTCTATGTAGATTGGCATTGATCTGATTGGACCACTGGAGGAAACTAGTAAGGGTAACAAATATATTATGACAGGGACATGCTATTTTTCGAAATACGCCCAGGCTGCTCCTCTAAAATCCAAACGAGCTATCGAGGTTGCGGAAACACTATACAGTTGGTTCATAAGGTAATATGACAATACTTCCATACATACATTCATCAAATAAACATTTCATAAATATTTACGCATATGTTCATATGGGAAAGTAATGCTTTTCTCTAAGATCTAAGACTAAGCATTTGCGTTCTTTGCGTACATTTAGCTACGTAATGACACAACGGCTATAAAAAGTTCACTGAAGCATTTAAGTTAACTTTTAGGGAATCATAACAAATAACATTTAAGTTGGCCATTGGACATCATCCCTTTCATAGTTTAAATGCCTTTGTAGACTTGGATTTTCAAGAAAAATCCTCACTGATCAAGGAAGAGAGTTCAATAACGCTTTGATTGACGGCATCAGTGAAATATTAGAAGTAAACCATGTCAACACGTCTGCCTACCATCCGCAGTGTAATGGTTTAGTAGGTACGTATCGAGATAAATATTACAAAACCTTGTCTGATGGAACACCTCTGTGTTGGGAACGTCTACGATTTTCGAAAAACAAACATTGTTCCGTTCACTTACATGTTAACCATCTCTGTAATGCACGGTCTTAACAGTTTACGCCAATATCAGATTCTACAGAGAATGGATATTTCTTGTTTATTGTTTATTTTATTCCCGAAAATCAATCGGAGCAACAAACATTTACTAATTACAATACAGTTAATCCATACAACATTGAAAATAGTATGATGATGTAATAAGAATAATATTTACACGAAATAGCGCTGCACAAATTGGCGCTTTTTGCAACAGTTAGTTAACAAAATGCCAAATGTAACACCATTCAAATGTTGGAGAACGTCTGCCTTGCTTCCTCATATAGCATCAACAAATACATGCATGTCAGCAGAGAACAGGTTGACACCAGTATCTATATCCAAAACTGAGACTAGTAAATTAAAAAGTTCGTCTCTCTCACAAATAATTTTGATATTTTGGCAATGCAATAGGTACGATTATCACTGGTGATCCACTCGATAACGCTGGTTACCGAAACGGTTTTGGTAACAAAATGGTACGATTTTTCTTTTTTTCTTATTTCACGCGTTGTAGGCAGAATCCCCACGAAGTTTTTTTTTTATCACAAACGTGTTTCAGTATCATGTGTTTTAGAAAATGTTAATGTTTGCGAAAAAATAGCTCAGAAGACAACAGAATCGTCGATTTAATACATAAACGGTTTGGGTTAAAAGTGCAGATCTTAACTGTTTTTCGAAAAACCGTTTATGAAACTTAAGTGAAGAATTTAATCGACGTTTCTGTTATCTTCTGAACTATTTATTCGCACATATGTACATTTTCTTAAACATATGATACTGATACACGTTTGTGTTAAAAATGTCGTGGGAATTCTGCCTACAACGTGTGAAATAAGGAAAAGAGAAAAATCTTACCTCCGATGTTCTTGCATCCTTTACAATTATAATATTAGCAATCGAGTAATACAAATTCTTGGCTTTTTGCATAAATTAAAATCACTTCTTAAAGCATTACCAACGTATTGGTGAGTAGTCGCGTTATGAATAATATCATTCCCTAAAGAGTAATTCACGTGAGCTCTGGTTCTTGATGTTTCATTAAATGTAACCACTGCGCTTTGGCCATCTTCCCCAACATGGGTCGTTCGAAAAATTTTGTTTCAAGAGAAGAGATTTTATTATTTTTACATGAAATTCCTTACATATATAGTACCACCTATCTTACATCCATATCTGAAATTTCAGGACCATACACAATATACTTCTTGAGATACATTGACTTTAAGATGTGAACCAATGCTCTCATGGTCCATATGATGTCATTAAATTGAATTAATTTTGTGAATGCCTTGAAAGGCTGAAATTGTTCGGTCAATCTGTGGTCTTTGAATAGTTACTCAGGTTGTGTTATAATTGACTTATAATCAATCAAAATATAGAGTTCTTATGTAGTCTTCCGTAGCAGGAATGCATTACTTGTAGCATTCTGTCCACCAGTCTTTAGAAGAATGCCTGAACCCTCCTACCTAAAGGATGTCAAGCCTTCTGAATAACTATAGCTACCTTCAATACATTTCCCTTTGTCTACTTCCATCTTCGAATACTTAGCAATGCCTATAGGAATCATCGTATGAAATATCTTAATGCATGAATGATTTTCACTTGTGTAATTCTGTGTTCCCATTCTTTAACATGTATTCTATTCATGTTTTCTGCCTCGACTTTATTATTTTGAGCAATATTCTCTAATTTTCGTAAATTGATATGAGAACTTTGATAACGTCATAAAATCAGGTTTAAGTAAGTAAATTTGGGCATGTTTAGTTATATTGTGCTTTATATATTACTTGTTTCCTCTTTAAAAATGATAAGGACCGTGCCGCCATCACCTTGGTTACTATAGCAACCATAAATGTTAAGTAATGATCATACATACATAAAAGCTTGACAGTGTAAGGGAATAAGATGGGGGCACAAACCTACCAAATATGAACAAGACTGGTCTATTATTTTTATAATTAAATATATTTGTGAAAAACTTTTGGAACAACCCTTGTATCAGAATGTTGTCTTGTATTAACCAAATTGACTTCATTCTTAGCATGCTTATCACATCCTCTCTCGAGCATATTATATTTATCAATCACCATACATTTTGATTCCAGAAAGATTCAATCAAACATTAGAACGGATGTTGTTAAAATCAGCTATTGACGTTAATGAATTGGACGAGACATTAGAATGGGATGACAGAATCGATGAATCTTTGTTTGCCTACAATACTTCAAAACAAGCATCAACTAAATTCACTCCATTTTACCTCATGTTCAACAGGTACAAAATGACATTAATATACCAAAATGTATTGCTGATGTATTATTTTTGATTAACGGGAAAAACGGAAACGTTTTTTAATCCAATAAATACCATACAAGACATTTTATTATCATATCGATGTTAATGTAATGATCCATTTCCATACCAGTTCGCTATCTTGCAAAGAATCAATTCTTTTTAGGGTAGTTCAGTTTAATCAAAGGGATGATACACCTGTCATATTATTGTACATTTTCTATTTCATATGTATTCCAGACATCCAACTCTCCCTGAACAAATTGCCAACGATAGTGATGAGGATGAGGGTGAGCCTGATCCACAAGAGGTTGTTAACAAAATGTCATCTGTAAAAAGAAAAATTGGGGAAGAAGTTCTCAACAACATTTCAAGTGCCCAAAAAAGCAGAAACTTTACTATGACAAAAAGGTAGATGCACAAAAGGTATGCTAGAGATTTTCATTCTTTCAGCAATTGTCATTCCATTCCCAATATTTGAACGATTTTAAACTAGACCAGAGAATACACTAATGGAGAGCTAGTAAGCTGTTATCCGTTAAAATTCTTTTGGACATTAATTGATTAAATACTGGATACTTTATTTGAAAGTGCCTAAAGAAATTACATTAGTCTTATTTGTACAACCATATAATTTATGGCTCTGGGTTACTCACTTGCTCTATTTCAATTATTTTTTATCTTATAGCAATAATCAATAATTGATTAAAGATATTGAACATTGTTCTATATTTATTAGAATTATCAATGGGAAGGGAAATTCTATACTTAGGATGATTAAACGTTTATAATTGTGTGTACTTTGTTACGTTCTCCAGGACATGCAAGTTGGGCAGAAGGTTTTGAAAAAGAACGATCAAAAGGCAGATAGAAAAGGTGGAAAAAAACTAAACCCCTGGGTTGGACCATACACAATTAGAAAAGTTGTAACAAATGGCTATAAACTTGTAAACGAGCGAGGACTTGAAATGAAACAAACAGTCAATGGATGTAAACTAAAAAAGTACATCGAATAATTCTAGTGAGAGTAATAATTATTGATGATAAATAATGAAGAAAGAATTGAATGATCTAATGGTACTTAATAAAGATTAAATTTGTGCCTTGAATGAAATCGAATAAATATTGAATCCGTAATAAATGTAGTATATTATGTTCTATTTTCACAGTAAAATGGAATGGCAAAGGTGACAAAAGATCATGGCATAATTATTTTATTATTTCTCAGGACTAATTAAATAGTTTTAGCCAGTATATTGAAAACTACTTAAAACGGAACCTTTAATGTAAGGGACATTGCACATTTGGATGATATACAATAGGTGACATGGCAGTATTACACGAACGGTCTTGTATGTCAATGAACTGTGTTAATTATACATAGAGTCCTTTATTTACATGCCCCCGGACATTTATAACCAGAAAATATGGTCCCGTGTGACTAGTTGGACATATATAACTAGAAAATATGGTCCGGTGTGACTTGTAAGAGACCATAATTTGGTATTTAAAGTCCGCCCCGGACACCCAGTTCTAGCACACGGACTAAAATGTCTAAGGAAATATAGTCCATCGGACTTGTTATTCTAGATAATATAGTCCAGGACAATATTTTCCAGGACTTATAGTCCAACGGACCATATTTGGTACGGTCTATATATACGTTGACACCGTGACTAAACAATACAACTAGACAAACAGAGTATCTTATGCATTTATAGGGGTTGGGTATAGCAGAGTGTTATTGAAGCCTCACCAGGCTTCATCTAATAGTGAATCATTTTCAGATAAAGGCAAGTGTGATTCGGCTCCCTGTCAGAACGAAGGCACATGTATTGACAAAATAAACAGCTATATTTGTAAGTGCAAGACTGGATATGCTGGAGTCAATTGTACAGGTATGTACAGGGTGGGTCAATAAAAACAAACAAATTAAAAACGTTGATCTGCCCGTTTTTTAATTGATCTTATTTTGTGCATAAAATTTTTTTTATACTTTTGAACAACCGTTCGATTATACGATTTGTTGAATTTTCTAGTTATACATTTATTAAGATTTGTAAATATATTTTTCACAAATTATTGACATAATGCAACATGATTCTACTAAAGGTTCATACATTAATAATAGAGAGCTTTCGATATAAGTTTTCAGCCAAACTTATACTGCAACTTTAACTTTTAAATGGCGGAAGCACCACTTAAGAGGAAGATTTCTCAAAGAAACAGGGAAAGTACATCTCATTAGAAAAGCTTTCCTCGTTTCCCAACGAATTGATTTGTGAATATCCCAACAATACATGGCAGAATTTATTCTAAATTGTAATCATATTTTGAAACTGGAACCTGCGAACTACAAACCTGATACATATTTTCCTGAAGGATAAAGTTATCTTCGTTTCCAGAATTCCTCCCTCGTGCACCTGGCAATACGTATTCAAAATAACTTATATTAAAAGCTCCTTTTTATTAAAACATTACTTGTATTTATATGTCACCACTAAAAAGAGGTGACATATTGTTCTATTTAATTGCAGTCACCGTTGGAAAACTAAAAAAGAAACCAATAGTTTCAAAGAGACAACTGCAGTCAGCTGTTATACGGGATCTTGCAGTAACATCGAGTGGACATATTGTGGCAACGAATTGGATCGCGACAACACGGATATATGACAGTGATTATGGTCTCATCAAAGATATCGACAGACAATTCGATCATGTTACAGTTACAAGTGATGGCCAACTAGCATTCACTAATTCGTTGAAGTTCATCAACTTTTATACAGCAGACGGTACCTATATGCGTACAATAAAAGTTAACATGTCTGCAGCGCATCTACGTGGTATTACTTCACTATCTACCGGTCAGTTTGTTGTATGCGATTTGGAAACACGGACCATATATATTGTGGACCAATTAACCGGAGATGCAACACCATTTTCTGCTTTTGGTACGTTTAGGGATCCGTACTATGTAACTACTAACAGCAAGGGCGATATCATAGTTAGCGAGAGCGCCGACGGTTTTATAAAAGGATTAGATCGAGCTGGCAACGAAATATTCACTTACGCAAAACCCGGCCGTATATATGGAAAGAAGTTGTTCGATCCCGATGGTGTCTGTACAGATACGATGGACTACATAGTGGTAGCTAGCTCCAGCAACCACAGGGTTGACCTGTTAACCCCTGAAGGTAAATTCCATAGTCACCTCCTAACGAATAGTGATGATGATGGTAAAATTCGGCCAATAGCTGTTCATATAAATCAAGATGGGCAATTACTTGTTGGGGATGACAGAGGACAATTATTCACTATCACATACAGAGAATAAGGTATGACAATTTTAATGCAGTAAATACAGTATACTGCATTTTTATAATCAGTGTACATGAACATTAACTCTGATGTCTACAAGGGGGGGGGGGTCAAATCCCCGGTCCCGATTTTTCCGATTATACTTTTTGCAAGATTTTTTCTGCTTCCATTAGGCTTTCCTTAAGCCACAGATAAAATACACTTTTTGGCGTAAAGCTCAATGTGATTTTGGTTAGAGGGGCAACGTTATCATATATAGTTATTTGTATAACTTTTAGGAAATAGTCCATTTGGCACAAAAACAATTTGAAAGACAATTAACAATTTTTACAATGTGTCAAAAATGTTCACCACTAGGTCACGTTGACCTCAATTTGACCTTTATTGAACTTCTGTTCTAGAAACCGTATACATTTTCTAAAAAGCGATTCACTATTTTGAAACAACTGATATACCATACCAACAAAAATGCTTTTAAATGCCTGTCATAGATATTATGAACAATGTCAATAACTACACAATGGCAAGGACTACACAAAAACAATGAATATACAAAAACAATGACTTTATAGAATCTTAACATAAAATATGACATTGAAAACTAAGCATCAGAAAAGGAACATTTCATGTGAAAGAAACGAACGGAGACGCGTTACCGTACATTCAGATAAAGGTGATAGTAATAGTGACTATGTCATATATGTTATGAATCAAGGAATCTATGATTTGATTATCAAACAGAGTTGATTAGAAATCATCGGAGTTAAACTTCTACCTTATTGTATAGAACGCAGACCTTGTTGTACCGAACAAATCTTAACTGATCATATAGAAATACGAAGGATTGGACAGATGAAATTCCTCATTGTATGTACTTTAAACCCGTGCTGAATGTTTTTTTTGTTAAAATAACCTTTTTGGCTCACCCTATACGTGCTTTGGTTGTACTCAATATCATAACATTTACAAAATTGATCATTATTTCACACAGCAAATTGACTGCTACGCATCACAGTTGTACAAAATATGAATGAATCTCTTAAATGATCATTCACCAATAAATCCAAAAAGAATTGCTATGATATGAAGATCTGGTGTTATATCACCAAAATCAAACAATTTCAAAGTTACAAAAAACTCTTTGTAAGGTCCAATATTGACTTCATCACCCAGCATCTTGTTATTTGTAACTGTGAACTTTCTATAAAATTGTCCCCATGTTATATTATGTTTCAAAAAACTTCGGTTCGAAGTAAATATAGTTATTTCAGTTGTTCCCAGTGCCGGGTTCCTGAATGACAAACCAACTCGAAACTTCTTTGTATCTTTTGTTAAATAACTACATTTGAATGTTAATATACTTCCTGAATTAACACCATGATAACCAGTCTTCAAACGGAAGTTCTTCCTTAATTGGAAGCCTTCAATATGTTCCAAACATATCTTTAAAAAGGGGTCAGTATTGCACGGTGCCTCGTTCTGGATTACCGATGAAACAAGAAAGCATGCCGACCTATCCATCCATACTTTTGATTGGATAGGTTTTGGGAGGTGCACGTGTTTATACATATTTTGTTGTACTTCATTCTTATTTGTTGACTTGCATATTTCATTTTCTTTTTTATTGTATTTTATTCGAGGTAGATCATCGTCCATGAGTTGTTTATAAACTTGAAGAATAAAATATGAAATAAGATATCCCATCTGTCTATGGCCTTTAGCAACTGGATGGAACTCCATATCGCGTTCCTGATAGCCTAATTCCTTGTCTTGGGTTTTATTGCATATAGCCTTTTTCCAGGATACGGAAGTGACGTCATAATGTATTGCGATTGGATTAAACAACACTTCCTCAATAGATAGACACTTTGGATTTCTACGCCCAAATAGTTTATACGGAACAATGAAATTTGTCATCATTGAAAAAGGCTGTTCTGCCAATGGCAATGACTTGATATTGCGGACTAATTCCTCCATACCCGACCGCGTCACTCCCTGAACGTCATCATTCAGCGCAAACTCCATTAAAAGGATATCAGTGCTTGTTACGTTGATACAACTCCTGAGGCAATACGAGTATATAACACTTTGTGTACCGCCTATGAACTGGTTGTTTATAACTACAGGGACTTTTAGTAGTTTCTCTAAGAAGTACGCTGCTATATGGTAATATCTAGGTTCGCCCAAATTACCCTGGAACAGAGAACATGCGAGGATAGTTTTATGATAAAATTGCACAATTATAAAACACTTTTAGATAATAGATCCTATGCTTGAGAGGATGTATTCGAATGGCATGGAATTATATGCCGCTGAAAACATTAAAATACCATATCCATTTATATTATGCATATGGTTTTACAAATAACATTTTCTTCAATTATGATTTAGAATTATAATTGTGTATCTCTCGAGGAGAAAATGATGACGTACAGGGTCAAACAGAAAAGCAGCCCTCCTCCTCAAAAGTATGTTCATCTGTACATACAGTGTCATCGCGTGATACTGTAGCGGATTTGAAATGACGATTGACCTTGGGGGCTGTAAGTATGATAATGCACTGCAGTTATGTGAAATACTGTGTTTGGATTGGCTGGAATCCGACACAGTTTGCCTAACTACATGTATGTGTGAATACTTCTCTAAATCTCAAAGTCGCAGATGCGATAAACTAACATCACCAATGCTCGCCGTGATCAGTCTGACTACGATTAATGAAGACTTAAATCTTATTGAGAAATAGATCGCTTCACTTTTTGTTACCCTGTATAAAACCAGATCTTACAAATCGTTTGTATTTTCCCTTTTCTGAGTACGAATCCGGCCCCCGTGATATAGATCCACCAATAACTGCAAGGGAAATTGGCTTTGTGTCTGCAAGACTTCTCTCGATGGTAGACATCAACGTTCTTACGTCCCCAAAATTTGAAATTGATTCCTCCATTATTTTTCGGTCGAAGTCATCTTCCTTCGCCTTGCTAAGTAACTCTGCTAGTGTGTCATGATACGCGTCAATGTTAGCCTCATAATCTGAGCCCAACTGCTGAAGACGCTTTCTGGGTTTATGGGGATTTTCCTGGGTTTGTTTAACCATGTTCCTGTCTCTACGGCGAGAGGTTAGATTCGAGTCTTGTTTAAGGTTCCTGGGTTGTTGTATCGAGTCGTTCATTTGATTTACAAATTCAATCCTAACCGGGATAGTAAACTCTTGGCTGTAAATGAAAATAAATACAAAAGTTACTAAACAGCCCACTGGCAAATGTCTGCCATATAACTGTAACATTTTCAGAATAACCCAATCACTTTTCTATCGACATTATAAGAGCATATCCAGTTGATCGTCTGTTTGATTTATAAAATTAACAGATTAACCGGAAACATATTAAGTAAAATGTCAAACCCATAATTCTAAAAAAAATTGCGATTCTGTTTTGACCAGAACAAGGATCAATAAACGTGATCAATCTGCAGATGAAAAATGAGTATTTAATGGTTTTGGTATGGCCAGTGGTCATTTGCCTAACTGTTCAACCAAGTATATGTATGATATCGATTTTGGATTCGACGTGATGGCGATTTGACATTTACATATACACGCTACCCTACCCCATTCTGTAGCCTGTATTCCTTTTAAAGGGTCAGAGGCTACAATGAAGCTGCAAATGGAGCGGGTATTCTCTATTTCTGGTAACAATACAGTGCAAACTGCTCAGGGAATCGTAGTAGAACACTTGGAATGTGTAAAATCTAATATACAATACCTTCAGAAATATGGAAATAACCAAACATCCTCCATTTGCAACTTCTTTGTAGCCTGTATCCATTTTCAAGAAACACAGGTTACAGTATTGGGGCAGGGTAATATGATATAGAATATAGAAGATTGTAATTAGCATATGAGTTAGGCCACAGGAAAAGGGGTCTAATATCACAGATTTTTTCAATATTCTGATTTTTTGTTTATCTTAGAAAGCACAAAGAGACCTTTCAAATGAGCCATGGCTTATGTCTTAACAATTTTTCCTTTTTCCTTCCCCTTAATATTGGGCACATTTTTGGCTCTGTAGCACAATTTTAATTTTTGTGATAAGACCGGTTTTCCTATGGCCAGGCTCATATATCTATCTACATGAGTTTGTATGATGCAAATGTACTTTCGACTATAAGTGATGCGCAGAGTTTCTCGCTCGTTTACACTTTACCACAGCATCAAGAAGGCCTTGACCGCGACTACCGTAATTTCCGTCGTATTCGTACAGTTGAAATCGTGGTTTTTTAAAAGATGGCGCATCTATCAGCTGAACGCTCATTTGAGTGACTAGTATATATAAATACCTTCATTCTGCAGCTGCAGTAAATCCTGATATTTATCATTCATCATTGAAACGTTAATCAAAGTTATATCATATTTGAAATGTACATAAAAACGACAAGGTGGTTTTGAAAATTGTTTGTCAACATTGAAGCGTAAATACGAAAATGTGATTTTTAGATCAAATAAAATCCATGTTATGTAGAACCAGGAAAAACTGAATCGTCATTTATTGTATAAAAAACATATGCTACATCTTATCTAATTTATCTGTATACTAATCGCATTTCAAAAGGTATAATTTCAACTCAAGAGGTCAGAAAAATCGATCCATTAAATATTTCAGTTTAGGGGGACATTTAAACGCCCACAATTGTTATCCGCTGTTATTATTGTCTCCTCTAGGTTGTTCACCTGGTCCCGAAGCTGATCGTTATTTTATATGGGATAAATTAATTTCACCAACACGAATATCATTTTCTGTTCAAATTAGCAACTGAGTAAATCAAAGGAAGACATAAATATGAGAATGTTTCTTAATTAATGTAAAGATGGCAGCACTTGATCTCAGGAACGTTTCAGTCAATATTTGCACTCTTTTAACTCATTGAGGTAGCCTACTATTAGAATATACGTATGACGGGCAGTTTAAGGGGAGGGTAGCGTGAGAGTAAAAACTGAAATGGGGGGGGGGGTGGACTTCCAAGAGAATAGATTTTGTGAAATGCATTTTGAAAAAAAGTACGTCATTGAATACTCCTGTTAAAGACAAATTCAGATCCAAGTAAAGGGGTGACAAAATTGCAAGCAATACACGCATGTACAATCACTTATCAATCTATTCCTTACAATCTCAAATAAATATTTCACAAAGATCCTGGCATGTCATGAATTGGTGAAGTTATTAAGGATTCGAAAATGCAGCGCAAAAATAGGAGGGGGGGGGGGTGTTTAAAGTTCTCATGAATAAAAAATGGTAACCGTAATCTATAGAATAGATACGTATTCCACAAAAATCTTTAGTTTTCATGAACTTATGCACTCTGGAGATTTTTAGAAATGATCATGACAAAGAATGATATGAGGCAAGAATATTCTAAAAAAGAAACATGTTTTTGCTTGTTAGCTTTAGCTTACTCGTTATATCTGATGCTCCATTTAATTGATGATTAATTAATTAATCAATATGATGACTTGTCAGAAATCTAGTTTTAGAGATCCATGTGAATAACGTTTTATGCAATTTCGATGATTATGATAGTTACCCAAAACTCACGAAATTGGTAGTTTTTTTTCTCATTTTTATATGGCTATTTAAATGTTATGGTAGAATACGTTACATAATTTTTGTTGATATATGCGGAACTAACCTTGTTCTAATTGCTTTTTCCGAGTGTATGCTTTCCTCGAATGCCGACCTAGTAATCTTTGATAATACTCTAAAAATATTTCTCCATTTATACAAAATTACATTTTCTGATGCCAATATGTATAAATTAACCTCTGCTATTTTTCAATTTATTCACGCTCTGTATTCCAAACTACGAAATCAAGCCAATTTTCAACTACAAGAAATGTTATTAGCTTGGCAATTTCTTCGCTGTGAAACGTAATTTAATTTACTTGGCCTGTGCAATAACTCAATGGTGGAATAAAGCTGGATTTCAGTGAGAGTGTTTTAGTTGCGGCAGTTACTGCACTGAAAGATCAGCGCATCAGTCTCGGACTCACTTCGAACGGAATATAGGAGGTTATTTATAAGCGCTTCTTTTTCGTGAAAATACATACATATGTAGTACTTAACGCACCATAGGAATATAACCGATTCTGTTGATATTTTCTATATTAGAAACAGCAGGATATCATTCACTACACATGAAATAACATATTACGATAAGGATAACAACTTAACAGGGAAGATAACACGTTATATGGATTGCTAACTAGAGATATAAGAAACAGCGATATTTAAATAAAAGCAATGAAATATATTACGAGATAATTACCCGGTCGTAGGATATACAAGTATTTGTAAGCTGGTGATACTGTAGATTTCCGAACGAATCTTTTATTAACATTAAACACGGAACAATCAATGTTTAACTGTCGTTTTGGCTTACATCCGACCTTGATGAAAAATATTCTGAGTAAGCAATACTAAGTTCTGCACAGTGTTAATGATGTAGCAGTAGTGTTAATAATAGGAGAACCAGAACATCAAATAATCCCAAATTCCAATAGAAACTGACCACGGATCAATGTTACATCAATGGATGGAATTCTATTAGCAGACTACATTATTTACAATTAGGATCCAGTAAACGCTAACATTGAAAGTAAGTTAATCATTTTTTACGAAAATTGCCCCTAAATTTCTCATCAACCTGGATTGACAATCAGATTCATAAAATTGTGTTTCAATTAAAATATTAACGACGCTTTTTATTTATAGATTTTATGTCACCACTTTGTTCCTGCATTCATTTTAATGACTGGCACTTTGCGTTCGGCGTCTGTGACAAAGTGTTACATTTCACACCGATATTCTGTAATTCATCGCTTTATTAATTGTCTAATTAATCACTTTATCAGTTAATTTTTTTTACATATTGCGGTATCAAAAAAGCAAAATCAGGGTTATTATGATTACATTGGCACGTTTTTAAGAAAGTTGCTTACAATAAAGTCTAACTTTTCTGGAGACAAATCTCTGGCGTAAAAAATCACTTTTATAACGTGGGTAGAAGAAGATGGAGGATGGGACCAACCGAATGTGAAATATTTAGTGTCGATCTTTCATTTCTAATGAGCACTGATTTCTCATTTTTCTTGTATGAGTTTTGCTACTTGTAAATATTTTTTTTTTAATATATCGTGGATTATATGCCCCTTGGGGTGTCTTCCACTATTGCGATTGTACTTGTATTATTTGGAATTTAGGAAATAAATAAAACAAAATAAAACAAAATAAAACAAAACAATAAACAAATAAAACAATATTTTACAGTCGCTGTCCCTTCTAGTTCCTTTGAGTAGCCGAGTGAAAACAAATTAAAGGTATAATCAGATATATAGGGGGTGACAAAATTACAGGCTTCATGTACAATTTGCTCAGAGATATATTCCTTGCAATTGTATTTAAAATATAATATCTCCCAAGAGATCCGCGATATGTTATCATTTGATGAAGTTATTTAAGATTCAAAGTGCAATGATGGGGGGGGGGGGGGGTGGTGTTGAAATTCTACCAAATAATGAATATGATGACTACATCGTATAGAAACATTGATACATTATTGTAGAAATCTTTTTTCTTGCTGAAATAAAGTTTGCTTTGTGAAGATTTTTAGAAAATACACTTGACAAGCAATGATATTAGACAAAAGTACTCTGAAATGGGAACAATTTTTGTTAAGGTTGCACGCTAGATCTGATATTACCTTTTAGTATGTGAGTCTAATTTATTTTTGTATTTGAAGCAGATCATACCCTAAGCTGATAAGATCTCAGAGGAGCCCCAGGAAATCTTACTTTTTCATCTTCAACTAATAGTAGTGCATATATTTTTTCCAAAACAGCATGACCCTAAAAATTCCATCGTTTCTCAGCTAAAGCAATTTTTCACATCAAGCAACCATGTTTCAATATACATGTAATACACGTGTTTCCCAGGCACGATTAATACACCGCTGCCAATAGGTATGGAATGTTCCTCCGATTTCACTTTGCTTTAAAAAGATAGTGTACGATACTGTCTCTCTATAACTATACCTTAATTCCTTATGACAAGTACAACCCCAGTTTAAGTTACTCCTATATTGAATATTTTTTGTATATCAATATATATTGTTAGTAGACCAATTTTGCTGATATAGTAATAAAAAGTACTATAAAGGTACAATGGATGAAATTGTTATGATATCTTAGATTTTTTATTTACTTTGGGGCTAATATCTTTGCATTTGTTATAATCTAGAAAGTTTTGTTCAATATTCCAAATATGAGCAAATCCAAGAACAATAGTTTAAATCGAAATAACCTTCTAAAAGTTTATGTATATATGGACAACGCTAAATCCTATGAAAATTGTATAACAGTGCAGCCAAGGAATCGAGGAGCTCACTTCAAACTAACAATGGAGACAATGTGACTTAAGCATTGGAACTATTTTATTACTTCCCCTATTTACACCATCATTGTTATTACAATTGTTTGGAATGATATCAATACAAAATTGATCCTTCAATAAAATCAATGATTTCTTCATAAACTATCGAATAAATCATGTCAATTAATCATATTGCAACCCCGTGAGTACAAACACGAACAAGATATAATGGTGATATTTGTCTTCGATTTTGACGAGGTCATACCCAAAAAATAGATAACTGCATAAGACATTGTGAAATTTTTATGATACAGACCTAAGGATAAAGATCGAGGTAAGGATACGGGCCTTGAGGATGCAAAAAATACATAATATTGTTTATTATTTATTTTGGCCTTAACATTTTAACTATACAATTTGATTACTGAACTGATATCTTCATTGTCTTATTTGCATCTTTCGAATAAAACTGGTTTATTACCATTACTGGCTCTTCCTATTTACTTGCATGTCGTATATTTGCAACCCTATATCCATTTAATTGCATTTTGTATATTTGCGTTACTACTTGTGTTTCATATACTGTCATTTTACTCTGTTTTATTTTTTATGTTCATTAAATATTATTTCCAAATCTCATGAAAATATAGTTAGGTTAAGGTTGTCTCATTTGACGAGTTTGGAATTATCTTGAATAGTCACACCATTCTCAATCTGGGATAAACTTATTGTACTCGGCCCGACTAAATGTATTTACTTAGGATCGTAGGGTTAACGTCAAGCAAATATATAATATCTTTAATAAGGGCACTGAAGTCGATGTTTCTAACTAAATTAATCCATACAGATTTTAATAAATGGTGTTTTATATTCAGAGCGGTTTTCTCTGATCTCCAGACGCTCATTAGCCTTTAGAACTCTGCCATATCTTGTACACAGTGTCTGAACACACGTTGCACTTTCGGTAAAATATCACATATTGTATTTGGAGTCAGAATACACATTGCACCTCAATTTATATTTTGTATTCAGAAGTATCTGAATAAGAAACCTTTGTAAAAGTAATATTTTGTATTCAGTGTCTATTCAGGAAAATGCTGTCCGAACACATTGCACATTTAGTAAAACGTCATATATTTTATTTGGTATCTTAACAGAAATTGAACATTGAAGAATGGCATGTTCTAATTTAGGTGTCTGGACATGATTCCAACTTCCAAGTTAAACGTTATCAGAGTCTGGACACTTTGCATCCTCCTCGAGAAATGCCATATTTAGTCTAATATGTGTTTATTACTGACCATGACGGGCGAATTTAAACTCCCTCAATAAATTATATAAAGAACGTCCGAGCTACCTAGGATGAGTTCCTTTCTTCACCATAGATCATATGTCAATATATTAAGCACTACTACCTGGGTGTTTGATGTGTCAAGATGCGCATGCGTATGTTGTTCAAATTGAGAGTATATTCTAAACATATCGAGTCTTCAATAAAGAAGGTAATACTAAATATAGATAGGTTCTAATTTACTAGTTTTCTTACTATATTTGTTTGTGAGCTCAGAGCAAGATCATAGCTATTGGCAGTTTAAAAGTCATCGTATATTTGCATTCCATGCATGTGTAACTTAATTGTAGCCGAAATATTGGTAGCACAAACCAAATGGGTCCAATCGATAAGTGCATAATATATTGCGACAAATTGTCAGGGTTTAGGAACTCTTAATATAATGAATTATTTTCTTTGCTGTATATTTCCTTTATTTCCTTACACGACACTCTACTATACCTTGCATTTGGTGTCCATAAGCAACCCATTTGGCTTATCAGTAATGATTATGTTATTTGTTTTTATGTGTCTGTTCCTTATGAATGGTTTATCGGATGACTGCTTGATGTTAATAAGATACTTTCAAAAATATACTAAACAATACACAGTTAGACAAACAGAATATCTTATGCATTTCTAGGGGTTAGGTATAGTTGAGTGAAGAGTGCCAATTTGACACATCGTTGTACTCCGGATGTAATCATACTATACCATAAAATAGCACCAAATTCTTGGAGAAATATCGTAACAGCTCCCACTCCGTCAATATTCTATCAATTTGTGTTTTCATTACATTGCATGAACGATGAGTATTCACTCCAAATATTTCAGTAAGGATCAATATGATATATATACAACAACGTGCTGTATCAAGGCTGTGAAAATGTGTGAAAAACAGTTAATAGTTATATACAACCTTTAAATATTGTATTTTGAAGTGTATTAACCCAACGCATGATTGTATTTTGAAACAATGATTTGTATTTTAAAAGAAAATAAGTTGTAAATTCCAATTGAATTAATAGCAAAGAATACTAATATTCACTAGCATTCTGCAAGCAAACAGATAATTAGTTAAGAACTGAAACATTACAAAGGAGTTACTATATTTAAAATCCTTAGTCTATAATAAAGGGTAGAATCACCCAAGGTAGGGTGTTCTACAATATATATGTACAAGTGTATAGGGATTGTGCCATCTGCCGTACTGTACACGTATGATAAGCAGTATTATTACCACCTTGTCGGGCCAGTTCTAGGGGTTTTAGTGCTAGTTTAGAAGGCATTCATTTTATTATATCGACCTGAGAAATGTGTGACGTCATAGTGGTGGTCCATATGGACCGGTCTAGAATATATTCTGGACCGGCAATCTTTCCCGGGAAATTAGATATCGTTCAGTGCGTAAGATTTTCTTGCTATTTCAGCCCTGGTCGTTAACGGTGGTAATAATACTAATAACGTCATTTCTGCGAGCAATATAGTGAAATATTGGACATTGACGTTATTGTGCTATACATATACAGGGTGACCCATGAGCAATGGAACAATGCAGCACCATCAAAATATATATAAAGTGGATGGACCAGGTCATACCCGAAGTAAAAAAATTAATCGAGTTTTATAAGATGTAACCATATGTCATACAGCATACATCTTAAAGCTGTATGGTAATTTTTAGATTCTATTTTGTAAGAATTCACTGTTTCTGTTGTCATGTTTTTTTCGTCATGTAGTCTATATGTACCTGTACTTAGCTTCTTCATTGTTTTCTATCCATTATTAAAATTAGGAATAGTTTTTAAAGGAATATTATTCCGAATTGTCAATTGATTTATTTAATTGAAAATAGTTCTAAAAGAATGTTAATCCAAATTATCAATTGATTTTCTTAA